AGCCCGTTTGTGAGGCTTGTACTGTAGGGTTGTTTGAGTATTTAAGCACGTTAATGCTAATTTGCGCTCAATCCGGAAGGTTCTGCTGATTTGCGCTCAATCCGGAGGGGTCTTGGGAGAAGACTGATCCGGCCAGCAGTACAAGGAGCAACAAGAAGGGGCTCAACAACAACAACAATCGACTGTTGGGAATCGTTAACAAGTTTTGTATCCCTTTTGGTACAAGAATTAAGATAGTAATCTGTGGGGGGCTCGACAGTGCTGCACTGTAGTGACCCTTCACCGAACTGCGAATATCTGAGTTAAGCACCTTAATTCGGATATTGAACAAACCCGGAGGGGTATAGTATACTAACATTATTACTTTTATAGCCCATATTAATACTCCTATATCGTTTTTCAGTGAAAAAACAAAGAAAAAATACCGGTTTTTAGGGTCAAAATAGCGATACTTTGATCCCCCCACAAATAGCAATTTTTGACATATCGATAATTTTTGAAACGGAAAAAAGCGCTAAATTAGTGCGTTATATCGTAATTGCACTACTATAGTTGGTAGAACCGGTTAAGTTTAGTTTGGAAGTGGTTGGAACTATTTTGGTACCAAAAACCGAATTTTCGTGATTTTTGAGAAAACGGAAAACTATAAAATCAGAAATTTTTTTTGAAATTTTTGAGTTAGGACAGTAAAAATAGTTGTTCGGACAACGTCCAATAGTGAATCTACAGATTCTAAAACCCGCTTCCCGAAAGCCTTCCGGGTTACAGAGAAATCGAACTTAACGTGTTTGATTAAGTGGATTCATCAATACGGAGGGGTCCAGGTAGCATAGTTTTTCGCAAATTTTTTCCACTTAAGCGCTTTAGATCGGGTCTTTTGCATTGAACTAGAAGAGTATAGACCTTCTGAGCTCGGATCAAAAATTGTTAGGTCGAAAAGAACAAAATTGCAGAAAAAGTTAAGCGGAACCAATAAGAGAGAAATTTCTTGAATTGAGAAAAAAGACGTTTTGGTTAATAACTTTGGAACTACTGGACAGATCCTTTCAGAGGACCTTTCGAATTGGCTGTTTTGAACGAATAAGAGCGTTATTCGGACGATTGGACAAATAGTGAAGGCTGAAGGATTCGGAAATTCCTAAATTTTAAAAATTCGAATGGATGACGTAATAATTCTAAGAAAAACAGCCATTTTGGAAAAAAATATATATATAGACACAACAACATTAGTTGCGACGACGACAACAACGGAAAAACTGAGAATCAGAATCAAAGAAAAGTAGAAGAAGCAGAGACCGCTCCTAGTTGCAACTATTGTGCCGCTACAAAAGTTGCAAGGCCGTTGCGAACAACGGTGAAGGGTGTGAGACAGCCTTCTGGAATGAAAATAAAGGTCTTATTTCCCCGGATTCGAGAATCCGGAGGGGTCTCGGGATTTGGACTGAAACTGTTTTACATAAACTTTTAGCTTCCCTATTATGCCCTGAGTTGAATTTAACTAACATCTGAATAAATTTTGCAAGAATGAGAAGCTAGGAGTTGGGGGGGGGGGGGGGGAAGGGTTGATCCATCTTCGATGGAGATGATCATTTTTATCTACTGAACAAAAACAATAGTAATATAATAAGTAGTAGTAACCCTGTTTTTGGGAGTGACCTCGTGGTCTGGGGATACTGACACCCATCCATGAGTTCACTATTTCTGCATTTAATTAAGTTAATTTGAGCGTTCTGGTCGAAGCCGGAGAACAGTAACGTTTTTGTCGACCCGATGTTGAAAAGACCACCAAAAGAACTGGCTTGGTAGAGACGGTGAAAAGCATGTAGATTTCTTTTTAGACGTTGGCCAGTCGTATTAGAATCTAGCTTTTTTTCCGTCGTTATGTATCTTCCGGGCGAATGTTACATTCTTCCCGGAAGGCTGGACACGTCGTCCAATTACCCTTCCTGGTTCTCGGGATTCGTGTTGTAACGATTGTAGCTGCACAATCGTTACAACTCGGATTGGTTTTCTGATTGTTGTTTTCTACTTCAACCTCGATCTGTCTCGCACAGTTTCCGTTCACCTTTCTCTTCAACGAATTTTGCTGTTGTCTCTTTTGCCATTTTCTTTTTAGTTGTCGCGAAATTTCGAAGTCATAACTTGTCTTTCTTTTCAAACCAAATTTCAAAAACTAATATGTCACACAAAAATTGACCATTCCTAATTCGTCAAACTGAACGACTAACACCGCCAACTTTCTCGCTCAGCTGCTATAATAAAAGTTCGAATTCGAACTGCATTTTGATACATTCTGGTCGAATGTCACAAATTCCACCTATGTTGGCCAGACATTTCGATATTTATTCACGAGGGTCGATGAACACCGCAAAGAAGACTCCCCAGTAGGGAAACACTTGTTAGAATGTATTAAGAAGTTAGGCAGTACTTCCTTGCTGAAGTCGAGATTATAGACCAAACAGTCAACACTTAGAAGCAACTCATACTAGAGGCTTTGCATATTTGGAGGGAGAGGCCGAGAATCAACTCACGCAATGAATTCAGGAGCCGGGAACTAACACTAGATCTATAGTCCATGTATAACATGGCTGAAAGTCAAAAACTGACATGTCAGAAGAAATTTTTGCTAAAAAGTAAATTTCAAACGTTTTCGCAACTATGTGCATCGTCAGGATTTTTACAATAAACTACTCTAAATGACGATAAAACATCAATTTACAAATGTTATTTACAATAAATCACATACAATTTGGTTCTAAACCATCATGATAAAAAATTAGCCAATCACAGTTGACCTCTAAATTACTATTAAGATTAAAATACTTTTAACCTCTAAAATTAATTAAACATTTTAAAATTAATTTGTCTGGAAGTTTCTGAGTCATAATTTCGATTTAGACATGTACGTTTTGAATAAAAAACCAAAAATATTTTGGGACTAAATTTTCAGTGTTAACTCCCTGCTCCTAAACTCATCGCGCGTGTTCAAGCCCGGTTTCTCTTTCCTGATATGTATTGCCTCTAGTGTTAGCAATTTTGTTTGGTTGTTTGACCTATCTATAATTTCCCAACTAAGATCTGCGCTATTTCCCTCAAGTTGGCATTGCTGAAGGTGGAGGCCTACCGGTGAGTCTGCTTTCCTATGTTCCTCAATTCTAGTGGTCAAATGTCGAACAGTTTGTCCGACATAGGTGGAAGTGCATCCACTACATGACAGTTTATAAACCACTCTTGACTTGAGGTCATTAGAAAATGCTGACTTCAGTGATGGTAAACATGATTGTAGTTTTCTTGTGGTGAAAACCACTTGAACGTTCGTTAATTTTCGTAACCTGTTAGCAAAATATTGGCTCTGGTTACCTCTATATTGCACCATCAGCATTGGGGGCTTTTCATCCTTTGGTGATTGAACTGACAAACCCCTGTCACTATCCAGGGGCTTGCCTTTACCCTCGATGATCTTGCACAAGGCGTCTGAAGCCACCTTTGCGGACCAATTTTCAGGGTACTGATTTGTCAGCCATTGCGCCCTATTAGTTTCCATAGCCTTATCAAATTGCTCCCAGCTAGATGTACTCCTAAAAACCCTGTGTACAGTGCCTTGGATAACACTACGCTTATACTGAGTTGGGGCGCAGCTTCTATAGTTCAGTATAGTCCCTGTATCTGTTGGTTTTTGATACCAACTGCAAGTTACACGCCTATCCTGCGATATATTTATGTTCAAATCCAGGAACGGCAAATTCCCCTCCGAATTAGTTTTCTCTAGAGTGAACTGCAAATTTGGATGAAGAGAATTGGCGGCATCGAGAAGACAACTCGGCTCCCCTCTGACTGTTCTAACAATGTCATCCACATACCTGAGGAACAATTTCACCTGGGGAGTATCCTTCTCCTTGTTCTTAGCTCGGCAGCAGCTTTCACAGTACCAGACTATCTCGGTTATTGATGCGTATACGTCATCGGATTTTTTTCCGCATTTTAGATGATACCAGTTTCGGCAACACTCGCATTCAACCCCCTTTGATCTATATGTGACTTTCCTGCTGCAACATGGGCACAAGCCGTTTTTGTCATTAATTTGCTGTACCCCCGTTCCCACCGGTATTTGTTGTCGTAGAGCAAATTCGTATTCTTTCAGCCATAAGTTTGCCAGAATTACAGCGAGGGACGCTCCCATTGCTAAACCATCAACTTGTACATACCATGAATCATTACACTTGAAATACACTTTGCTGACCGCCATATTCAAAAGCCTTTTCATGGTTGCTCTTTGAATTTCAGGAGGAGACTCCTGGCTGTACAGCTTCTGTAAAGCAATTTCAATTGCCTCCTTCAGGGGAACGTTGGTGTACAAACTTTTCACATCAAGAGATATTATGGTTTCATCCGGATCTAGAGGAATGTTTTCTATTTTTTCTCTAGCCTCTTTAGTATTGGTTTCTATATTTGCTCCATCGATGTTGTCAAAAAACTTCGCAAGCATTTTGTTAAGATGCTTAGTTTTTTTGTACTTTCATTTTATAATGAAAGTACAAAAAAACTAAATATTCTCAGAAATTTACAGGAAAATGTTATTAAATATACAGAATTAAATATTATTTTCATTTTTTCAGATCTTGATCGTTTTGTAAAAATATTGTAAAATTTATTAAAATTGTAAAATTATTAAAATTGTATTAAAATTGTAAAATTTTAATCGTGATGATGCACAAAATGTGCGAAAACGTTTAAATTAACATTTTAAAGTTCTTATTTTTGCTAGGTTAAGAATAAGACCACTTCTCGAGTAAATGACAGATCGCTTTGTGGTGAAATGAGAAAAACTATATGAAAACAATTTAATTTTATTTGATTTAAATTTCTAACCATAACCATTGTTATTATATTGTTAATAAATCTATAACCAAGAAAAGTTGTGTGACTTACACTTGCTTAATAATGTTAGTTATCATTTTGCAATTAAAGTGTACATTTTTTTTCTTATTTGTTTCTAGGTTCAAATGTAATGCAACGGATTTGTTTGAAGAAAGGTCACGGGCTTTCTTTTCTTATTCAGGCTAGTAAAATATGTAGCAATTTTTTCACTATGTTATTATAATATCTAAGAAACTTCTAATGTTTTAGGATATGCTAAACACAGGAAAAGCAACAGAAGACAACCGATTGCAGGAAGATAATTTATCAGACAGAGGTGAAACTGTAATCACCGCTGTCTTTCTGGTTGCTTTTGATTGAATATAATGATTTCGGATATAATAATTATCTTCATTAAAATCAAACAATTGGTTATTTTAACGTGGATCGCACCTATTAACGTTTATTCCCTCAATGGAGTATAAACAACTTATACATTATGTAAAAAAAATTCTTATTCTAGTCTCATCTTAATTAAGACGTGATCTATAAAAGACCAAAACGAAGTTCATGTAACTATCTCACATTTGAAGAATATTTTTTGTTATTAGTTACACAAGTCTCTGTTTAGAATGCTCTTGCGAAAAATGTGAAGAACTGTGTGAACTTTTCGACATATTCGCCAGTCCAAGCACTGATGTGAGCACTAGCGATAAAGCGATTGCTTTAAATCTTTCTGGGCTGTGTCGAACATCAGGTAAGACTCAGCTTATTTCAATCGATTTTATAAAGCTTGGAAAGCATTCTACTTCCTTAAAAGAAACATTTCCTCTCTTGCCGCTAAAAACATTAAGCTCAATGCGTATGTAGTATATGAAATATCTGTAATAAGTTATCCATCACCAGCTTGGTTTGCGATTAAAATCGAAAGTAAAGAGCTAGAAAGTGCTCAAAGGAAAGCAGGCTCAAAGGAAAGTGCTCAAAGGAAAATAGTTTCAGATACTTGAAATGTTTACCGGGGTAGCAATGGTTGCCCCGCGATAAAAAGTCCGACAGAAGATATCACTTGCTCAAGACATCATCTTCAAAAAATCTCCTGATTGCGGATTCTCAAGCACGCCATCTTGATTTTCCAAATTTCAATATCTTGTCCCTACCTGGGGCCCGAATTGGTGCGGTCCAAAACTTCTTACCCGAGAAAGACAAATTCAACATCATCGCTCTGCTCATCGGCGGAAACGACGCCTTCAACGGAAAAGACCCCTCCAGTATACCTGCAGGCGACATTGCTCAAGAACTGTCGAAGCTAGCCGAGGAGCTGTGTGAACGAACCAAAAAAGTTTTCGTCATCGGAATCCCTCATCGTAGTGAGAACCGAGCTCGATCTGCAAAAATAAACGAATTCCTAAGAAAGATAAAAGGAACTTGGAAGTTTAGAGGAGTGAGTGAAAAAATCCACAGCTCATATCATTTGAAAACTGACGAAGTGCACCTCAGTGAAGAAGGTCTGAAGGGCATTAAAAGTATTCTCAAGAATAAAACATTCGAACATCTGCAATACAGAAGGACATCTGGTATATTACGAGTGTCGTTTCAAGAACTGTCAGTGCCCCTATTAACGTAAGTAGAAATAGTGAACCGCAGGCCTCCCCTTTTCGGGAACCACCAGGTTTGTCTATTTCTTCTTTTTCCCCTGAGTGAGCCACAGGCCTCCCCTTTTCGGGAACCACCAGGTTTAACTGTTTTTCTATCCATAGTATAAGCAAAAATGGGCAAAAACTGCAAAACATGTAAAAGAGGCTTTGCCGGCAACGAGAAAACATACACTTGTGTCGCATGCAACGCTCAAATGCATTTGGAACCAACTTGTGTTGGGTTGTCTCTAGTGGCCATAAATGGAATAAAAGAACTAGGGCCGAATGTCATGTTGCTTTGTAATACTTGTGTGCAAAATAATGAACGAGACAACTTTATAAGATGCAAAACCCTGGCCAACATAGACGAGAAGCTCTCAAACATTGATGTAACTGAAAGCCTTAAAAGCATGGAAAGAAGACTTACCGATTTAGTAGATCAAAAAATTGGAAATGCAATGAAAACGACATGCGATAAAGTGGAAAAAACTTATAGTGCCGTTGTAGCTGCTGAAACCACCACCCGGATAAATCAAGCTCAAACCACTCAACATGCTGCCAGATCTAACTCTGATCACAACATAAATCAAAGTTTTAGGATACAAGGGGTCAAAGAGGACCCTGAGAAAACAAAAGGAGAAAACCTTGTCACAACAAATGACGAAGTAAACGAAATACTAGACATAATTGGAGTGAAGCCGAAAATAATAGAACTAAAACGACTGGGAAAATTTGATCGTAATCGAATGAAGCCAAGAACACTGCTGGTAACTGTACCTAGCGAACATGAAGCACGACTAGTACTAGCAAAAAGCCGAGAAAAGCGAGAACAATTGGTCGAAAAAGAGGTCTACCTGCTACCAGCATTGACCAAAGAGAGTGCAATTAAAGAGAACGAAATCCTTAAGAAACGAAGACAACTACTAGATGAAGGCGTTCCTCGCGAAAAGCTGAAAATAAGGAATCTAGAATTGTTCAATGATGGTGTGAAAGTAACTATTGACACTGAAGTTCAGGAACCCCAGCATTGACTAGGATTCCTCAACATTCTGCAATTAAATACTAGAAGCCTAATCAACATAGAGAGAAGAACTAAGCTAGCAAATGCAATTGCAGTTGGAAATTTTAATGTCATATGCTTAAGCGAAACTTGGCTGAACGAGAATATTCAATCATCAGAGCTTTTTCTAAGTGAATATAACATCTATAGATCTGATAGAGCTATTGTGAGTGGTAAAAACTGTCACGGAGGCAGCCTAATAGCTGTCAAGAATAGTCTAATTACCGAGGACTTATCCACCAAACATGACATTCCTGATTCATGTGTGCTATGTAGTATAAAACTTCATCAAACTGAAATGATAATTGGCTCATTCTACAATCCGCCAAAAAACAGTAATTACAGATACAAAGTGCATGAATTTGAACAACTGATCAAAGCCATTCCTAAAAACAAACCGCTTCTCTTTATGTGGGGATTTAAATTTCCCAGAAACAAACTGGAACACCCTCACCAGTACTGACGAGGAAGAAAACCAAATACTGCAAATTTTTGAATATGGACTCTTTAGGCAGGCGATAGATTTCCCAACATGTGTGAAGAACATACTAGACGTAGCCTTTTATCGGAATTGCTATACAAGTGCCGAACAAGATTTTAACGTTTCCAAGATTTATGACTGCTCAGATCACAATGCCATAATGTTTTTTATTGAATGCACGGTATCAGAGCCGAAACCATACTTGGAAAATTTTGTGTCGGGCGATTTTAGTTGGAAGGTACACATTGAAACAAGATTAAAGAAGGCAAACCAAGTACTGTACCTCCTGAGAAGAAACCTATCAGCAAAGATAAATACGTTTGTAAAGTTAGGTCTATATAAGTCACTAATACTCCCAGTGTTATTATACGGACTCTCATGTACACATATATTGAGGGGGGATCAATTGCAGTTGGAGCGATTTCAAAAGAAAGTAATCCGTTGGATCACTGGAAATAAAACGGGAGTGTACATCAACGAATTACGCTTGCTAAACATTTTACCCCTGCCCATGTTCATCCAGCTAAATAACATCTTACTTCTTGCCAGTCTTGATTCTAATGAACGAAATGAAATAGTGTTAAACAGGCGAACCACACGGGCTAGAAATACAGAAATTTTTGAGATGCGAAAAGTGAGAACGGAAAAAGCGAGAAACGAATTGGTTTTCAGAACCAGTAGGATTGTAAATCGATTAGAACCATATATTCATTTTGATAAACGAATTGGCCTCAAGACGAGAATTTTAAACACGATGTGGAAATTTGTAAACGAGAGATTTTCAGAAATGACAACGTGCACGTGGCAATTATTCTGTGATTGTATCACGTGCAGAAACAAGTGGACATTGTTTTAGAGAAGACGCCGGGACCAAGAATCCCAACAGCAGTGCTGTGAATCCCCAACAACAACAACAACAACAATATGGATAATGGGCAACTGGGATAAGAGCTATAAACAAAGACTAACTGAACTGAGACTGCTTCCATTATCGTATTACTTTGAACTACATAATCTGTTCTTGCGTGCTCAATTTCTTGAAAATTCGAATAAATCCACTATAAGTTGGTTAGCAACTAGTTAAAGACCAATTCAGGTTGTAATTGTTTTTCAAAAAACCGGGATTGTTTTTCATCGGGTTCGTTTTTTTGTTCTAGTTTCTGTCGGTTCATTTTTTTATGAAACGCCAGTTTTTTATTGGCTTATTTTCTACAGTCTGTGTTCTGTTCCAATTTCAAACCTTTTTTTTTTCTATAACTAAAAGTTCCGTAATTTCTAAATTTACCAAGTCTGATTTTGGGCTATTTTTTTCTTTTCTTTTAATTATTTAAACAGTTTCATTTTGTTGTATCGGCGCAGTCATTTTTTATTGCATAATTTTAAGAGCAATTTTGTTCGCATGCGTTTGTTTCAGATAGGATGAGTCGTATTATTTTAAAAACTTCATGAAATTTTTTATGACAACAGTTTTGTTTTCGGCTCAAACAGGTTTCGAACTAAAATTTGATGCCACTCACTAATTAATTTTCAATTTTAAAAGGATATTTATGGACTTCTTTCTATAAACCATGTTGGGTTTTTTGCAGCATCTTCTCGAATTTTTCAAGTGTTTTTTCAACTTCATTTTTCAGTTTTTTTTTCAATTTTTGGTTCGAGTCTGACCAGGACCTGTTTTTTTTTCAACGGAAAATTCTGTTACAAAAAATTGTCGGCTGATTATTTGTCTACTTATCTTTTGTCGACTTAATAGTCACATCTTGGAATTTTTTTTCCAAGCACTTTTTTTATTGTTTGATTTACGCCTACATTTTGTAATTTTGCTTATGTTGACTTCATATTTCCTTTGTTTTTTTTGCAATAAAAAATTTCCCCGGCCAAAATTATTTCGGCCTATTTTTCGTTCTTGAAATTCCATTTTTATAGTTTTGGAATTTTTTTCTCTGTTTGCAAAAGTTTTAGTTCTTCTAGGAAACTTTCAAAAAAGTAATATCAATTGAAAACCCGTTTATTCCACTGTGTGCCTGCATACTCTTCTAGAGTCTTTTTCACTTGACCCTTCTGACTACAGCCTTCGAAAAAGTGTGGGGGAATATTTGAAACTCGAAAACTACCTCTCTCAAGTATGAGTTATTGGTTTCAACGGATAGAACTATTTTGAAAACCTCCACTGCATAATTGGCTACGACCAGTTTTTTTTGCACTAAAATTATGGCCCTCGCAGTAGTCAGTAGTCAACTTTTTGGCTTTTGACCGTTTTGTGGATTTTTGACGTTTCTGGAAAACTACTCTCCCAAATCTGACATTGGGGTTCAATAAGATAACGGGCAGTGGGAAGTTCCTCTTCATTAGCGCTACTAACAAAAAATTTTACACAAGAAGTTATTGCCCTCTGAAAAGTCAAATTTTTGGTTTTTTGACCGTTTTCTTGAACTTTTTGAATATTCTCGAAAAATACCCTGATTTACCTGAGATTTTGGGTACAATTTTTAGAATCGGTTTCGGGAAATTTAAAATTGTTCGCTTATGCGACTACGCAGAAATTTTTTGACTCCAAAAATTTTGCCCTTCGAAAAGGATAAATTTTGAAGGTTTTTACTTTTTCAAAAACTACCCTCCCTAATATGAGATTTTGTGTTCAAATGAAATTACAGATTGAGTAAATCCCTTCTGAATAACGTTTATGTATAATTTCTTTACACAAGATGCTGTTTCTCGGAATCGTCAAGTTTTTGATTTGTTGACCGTTTTTCTTACTGTTCTCATAGGACAGTAACTAACAATATAGGTTTAATCGAAAGAACAGGTTGTTAAAAGCCTTTCTTTCAAATTAGCTATGCCCAGTTTGTTTTAAAGAAATATGGCCTTCAAACTAGTCAAAGTTGTGAAACTTTGACAGTTTTTTGGAAACTAATTGACTTTACGCGAAAACTACCGGGCCAATTCTCAGGTTGTGTTCAATCGAGAAACCCGGCCTTGAAAATCTTTTCTGATTAAGTGGCCCTAACCTGCTTTTTGCAGAAAATCTTTCTGGATTTTGGAAAGTTTTTCAAAGTTATTTAAGAACTTTCGACAGTTTTATAGAAACTTTTTTGAAATTTAAAATTTACACAATTAAATCTGAGATGAAAAGTTCCATTGAAAGAATGAGTTGCAATAATTGATCCATCAGAAACATTGTTACCTTAATTTTCTGTAAGAGAAATTTTATCTCCTCGGGAAAATTGATTATCTCAAATTTTTTTTACTATTCTCAATTTTTTTTAGTAGAGAAACAATTAATGTTTTAGGCAGTCCAATTTTTGAAATCGTGCCGCATCAATATAGCAAACTCATTCAATATTAAACGCTTGTCATCAGCTTTAGCTGGGCGTGTAGCTGTTTTATCGAGATTTAAGAAAAGTTTCGTTCACCTAGTTTTTTTCAAAATCAAACATTTTTAAAAAATAATGTTTGTTTTTAGTTTGTATTGGATCGCAAGTTTCAAATGTTTCAAATTGAAAATGCTCTTTTTAAATGTTTTTGTTTGACTGATCATGTTCGGCGGATTTATTTTGTCGGCTTAGTTGTCACATCTGTTTTTTTGCCCTTCAAACAGTTTTCATAGAGTTTTAAAGTCTTTTTCAATTTATTTCTGTAATTTGAAAATTTACTATCCCTGCTTTTGTTGTTCTCGTTTTTTTAGTTTTGCTTAAAAGCTGCATTCGAGGAAACCGTTTTTGGCTTATTATTTATTGGTTTTTGACATATTTTGGCGTTATTTGATACTTTTAAAAGTTCTCTTACAAAATCTTTTTTTTTTCGGCTCAACTGGTGGTTCGGCTTCGTAAGTTTTGTTCAGTTGCAAAATTTGAATTTCAATTGTCGTGCTTGGCGTGTTTTCCTAGGTATTATGAAAGTTTATTGAATCTGGTTTTTTTTCAGACGCTTTGAAAAATTTTAAATATTTTTGCAAAAATTTTTCTCAACAACACTGCCGATTTTCAAACAAGGGTATCCATAGAAAGACAGCCTACAATCTTGTGTGCCTGCATAATTCCCTGGTCTCTTTATCCTTTCCCTCTTTATCTCTACAGCCTTCAAAAAGTCTGAAATTTTGACCGATGTTGACTTTTTCGTTTTCTCAACTAGCATACCGAAACAGATATTGGTTTCAATTAGTAGAACAGTTTTGAAAAGTGCCCCTCCATAACCGGCTACGTCCAAACTTTTTTACACGTAAATTGCTGGCCCTCGGAATAGTCAACTGTTTGATTTTCTTTAACCGTTTTTCGATTTTTTTTCCGAAAATTAACCTCTCAAACCTGAGATTGAGTGATCAAAGGAGTTAACGAGTAGTAAGAAGCTACCTGCATTAGCGGTTACTCACCTTTTTTCACACAAAAAGTTATTTTCCTCGAAAAAGACCTTTTTTTAGCGTTTTTAAAATTTTATGAATTTTACTGATAAATACCCTCCCATATATGTGAGTATGGGTTTATCAGAGAATCGGGTCGTTGGAAGTTCTTTTGCATACGCTTCTACGACCAAATTTTTTGACACAAAAAATTATAGCCCTCGGAAAAATCAAAGTTTTGATTTTTGACAGTTTTTGAAATTTTTTGACTGTTTTCGAGAACTACTCTACCAAACCTAGGTTTTTGGGCTCAATCGAAAATACAGGTTGCGTGAATTTCTTCTGCACAAGCAGCTACCTCCATTTTTTTTAAAAATAAAAAACTACGATTCTCGGGATTGTCAACTTACTGATTTGTTGACTTTTTTTGGTTTTTCTCAATAACTATCCAGCCAAATCTGATATCATATTTTACTCGACACAACAGATTGTTGGAAGCTTACCTTTTTATTTTGCTACGCCCAATTTATTTTACAAAAGTTATGGCCTTGAAACGAGTGAAAGTTTTGAAAAATGGACGGTTTGAAGTTTTTTTTACTATACTCGAAGATTACCGTTCCAATTCTCAGTTTAAGTGTTCAATCGAGAAACCCGGTTTTGCGAATCTTCTCATTTTTATCAGCCTCGGCAGCCCTTTTTTCATCCAAAAAAAATTAAGGATTTCGTTAAGTCAAGTTTTTGAACTTCGACCGTTTTCTAGAAACTTTTTGGATTTTCTTTAAAAAAAACTACCCTATCAAATCCCGATGAAAATTTCAATCGAAAGAAGCGGTTGCGCAAAGGTTATGTCTTGGGGAAAATTCCAAAATCTAAAAAAAATTTCATTCTGACTTACTTTAGTTGCGAAACATCTAATGTTTTGGGCAAATCCAATTTTTGAAATTACGCGTTTCGTCCCGCATCAGTAGAACAGATTCAAAAAATATCAAATACGTACCGGCAGCTTTAGCTGGGACCTCAACGACTTGTGCTTTTTTATGATTGGTTTGTATCGCCGCTGTGTGCAAAGCTCTGTTTCGCCTCTTAGCTTCAAGAAAGAGCAAGATTTGATAAATTGGAGAGTCACCCTGTCTTGTAAGGGTCTTGTTATCGGGAACTAGATTTTTTTCTTGTCAACAGCTTATCTTACATGTGAAGTTGAAGTTCAAGTTACTTTTCTAAGGAAACTCCTAGACTGCTTCCCACTTGGCTATAAATTGAAATGGACTTTTGTTTGTCTTCTTATGCTTTGTCGGCTTAGTAACCTCATTGCCGAATTTTCGTAGTTGATGCAAATGTTTTTGGTGTATTCCTATAAAATGTAAAAGTAATAGTCCGGACCAGTATTAAGTTTAAAAACCAGTCTTGAAACTTAATGAATGGCTCACAAATTTTATGCCAACAATTGCTTATGGCATTTTTTTGTTTTCGGCTCAAATAGCGGCTGTTTTTGACTCGTTGAACCCATTGTTGGCTTAGTGGCGACTTGTTAAAAAAATAATGACATATTTAATGCTGTTTGTTGTGTTTCTTGGTTATTAAACTGGTTTTTTTTCCCAAAAATGCTTTTTTAGATTTTGTTTTTTCCGTCCTATTTTCTATTCGCTAGCTTGCAATTCTATGCTTGCGTTGTATCAGCAAATGTGTTGCAAATTAACATGGTGGGAATCATCTGCGGTATTTCTACAGCAACGGACTGTTTTTCGTTTAGGTGTTTCCCCGGAAAGTATTCAAAGTTGCGCAAAAGATATAAGGCTGAACCAAAGTCAAGCTTTGTCCTCGGCTCACCATACACTTCTTTCAAAACGTCTACGAAAACTCACAAGCCATGTGGCTGCTTACTATTCGACATTGCGAAGCAAGGAGTCAAATAGCAGCTGTATCAGAAGTATACCTGCCGCAAGCTGCAGAAGAAGGTCTCAGATCTCTCAAGAACTGGGAAAACAGAGGAAAATCGGCAATGCGTCCGCGGCAAACGTCAATACAGAGTCGAGTTTGGAGGCGCATAATCCATTTAATGTCGCCCTTGGTAAAAGCGCATTGAGTTTTGCCTTCAATTTTCTCAAAAGGTGCTGGAGGTCCAACCATGTCGAAGATCATCACATGTGTGGTAGTCTGCTCCATGACTGTCTGGAAGCATTCGAGAGTATCCCGGTGGCTTCTTTGTTTGGTCGGCACAAGGTTCAAGAACCAGTGAATGGACCGCTTATTGAGATTGCCCATCGCTCAATTCAGTTTCTCGAATCTTGTCTACAAGGGTTAGCCTCGAGTTTTATTTTATTTTATGCACCTTAGAGTATGCGAAATTGAAATATGGACATGACCACAGTAATTCGAGTATTATGTTACTAATTGTATCAGGTGAATAAAAAATTGTTTATCTGGTTGAATTAGTGTATGAAACGTATAATGGTGTGGTTAGCAACTAATATGAAATAAATTTTATATGTACCGGGATTAAAACAGAATGAATTGATATGGAGTAAAAGTATAGGATCCGGGATATCGTACCAAACGAGGCTTGTAATTGGAGAACAGTGGACTGCACTCCTGAGTTGATCTGAAAAGTTGGCCTTTTTGTAAAACCTGAAAGCTTTTGTTACATAATTTGAGGTTTTATGTAAATTTTCATGACATATTTTTAAGATATACTGGAATTTATTGTTTTCTTTCCGATTTTTGGTTCACATCCAAAGGTCTGAACGAATAGATTATATATGTTTGATTGTGACGCAGGAAAAGTGATGCTGTGAATGGAACTGCAAGTGGGTGTGGGAGTGGACTGAAGGTTCCTCTCAGTGACAGATGCCTGTGTGTTGCTGTGAGGATGGAACTTGGTCTGCAGTTGGGATCACTAGCAGACACTCTGAGAGTGATTAAGTTCTTACTGCAACTGTGGAGTCAACGAGAGGAGAGAGAAGAGAGGTCAAATGAGAACATCATTAGAAGTCAAGTGCATACACAGCACACTAGTCCAGTTGGGAGTGCAACTGGCGAGGGAGATCAATGCCAGGGATCGGAAAGTGCTCAAAGAGAAAGTAAGAGATACAATAAGAAAAACCAAAAAGGAGTTTAGAAGAAAATGATGGTACTTCATTTCGTTGAATAATGATCGAAAACATTCCGCAGAAAATGATTAATACAGCTCAACCTTCAAAAGTAATTTTTAATAGTTTTCATGCCTTTGAAATCAAAAATGCCTGTGTAATCAGTAAGTTTTTTTAAAGGTCTGAACGAGCACACGACGACCAGAAGTCTTAAAGCTGCGCCACTTGCAAAACAGCTCAAGAGGTTCTCGAATTCTCTCAGCCTACAGAATCCGAAGTCACATGGCAGTTTGGACCAGTCAGAGGAGTTTGTAAGCGACATGTCATTCAATTATCGATAAAAGAATTTTGAACACTATGTAATTTACATTAAAAAAATGAACTCCATTGTAACGCAAGGTGAAAACTAGGCACCAAATAATGGAATTTAGTTAAGCTTTCATTCGAGAATATCGGTGTTGTATTCTAATCCACTGCCTTAACAGAGATTCTAAAGAAATGACAAAACTTATGAATTCTAATTTGACTGATATTAACCGCGATTAACTAAATTATCTTACTGACAGCTCGATTGGAAGCGTTATTGCTATGACAGTTTTTAAGTGTAAAAGGACGAGGTGATTTCACTTATGGTTTTTTTCATTTGTTTTTTTTTCCGGAAAGGTTGTTTTTTCGCGGTTAGACTATGATTTCTTTTTAAGTTCAGTTCATTTCCTTTGTTAAAAGGAAGGTAAACTCCATATCAAACACCAAAACTGAAAAGGTGACAAATATTATGAATAACTTATATTTTCAAAAATGGAGTTTAATTTTCTGAATTCCCAGCGGAATAAAAAAAATACATATTGATTCAATTTTCTTTAACACGAAAAAAGGCCCAATCAGAAACAGTATTTGAAATTCAAAGTGCTTCAACGTGATATAATTTTTTCGATTTTGGAATCCTCAAAACTGTCCAAAAATGTTCAATCTACGTTTTTGCGGTTTCTCTGTTCTTTTACACGTTTCCGACTGTGTTGGCTATGTTAGTTATGTTGGCCAGTTTGAATAAAAAGTATTCAGTTTTTTTGCTGTTCAGATTTATGGAGTTGAAGATATGACTGTGAGCGAAATGTTCCTTTGCAATTTCTCTCTGCCTGTCAATGAAAACAGTAATGACCTATCCAGCAGAAACCAGCTAGTTCCATTAAATGAAGCCGCTTCATACATAGCGTGTCATCTGGATATATCTGCCAATTATTCACTGCCAAAAAACGCAACAACTGCATCTGGTCATCACAATCCCGCAAATGATCTAAGGTATCTAAAATGACAAAGTGAATTTTCACCTAATTATATCTGTTTTTTTTTTCAGGAAAGTCCTCAAATTTTTTTACATTGAGAGTATTAATTTTGGCTACTTCAAGTTAAGTGCTAGCCATGCTTTTTTGGTAAATTTAATACTCTGTGTGGGTCTATGACGAGGAGTTTTTTTGACACGCCGTATTTGGTATTTATAGTTTCGATTACGAAGTGTTGAGCAGTGGCTCCTGCGAGGAAACTTCAGACGTAAGGGACTTCCTGCAAAGTGGCGAGAGAGTGTCTAGATGCTGTGAGACTAAAAGTTACTCATTCTTCCTCATGCAAGACGGATCTCTCTTCTGGCGTCGGAGGAACTCGCCATTCGCTCTTACAAAACAGGTGATTAGCGTTTAAAATTAGAAGCAATTTATACGATTCCAGTTTTCTGGTATCAATTTCTAATGCAGTCCGCATAAAAAAAACAAATGCTGAAGAACGCTCGTTCTACCATTAACTATTGTGTATTCTGAACTTCTGGAAAAATTTGCGGTTTAAGGTTAAAGCTGCTTGCCGGTCCTAAATAGTGAGACAGCGTGTTCAGGTGATGTAAAAGGGTTTTGCTTTAATCAAAAATATGGGAAGGAATCTGGAAATTGTTAAAGTTCAATATTAAAGCAAGAGAAATTTCTTGTAAGAAACGTTGTTTACGGAGAAAAGTCTAGTTCTCGATTATAAGACACATGCCTTCGCAAGTGTAATTACTTTAAACCAAACCCCCAATTGTTTTGAGCCCATAAACAATTCGTAACGAGGTTTTCAAAAATAAGGAGAAGCAATGAGATAAAGGCCCAAAAACAAGGTTTTCACTTTTTGCAAAAAATTTCGATTTTCAAAAAATAAGTGTCCATGGAACGACCGTTTACTCCCATGTGGGCGTGAAAAGTCTTCTAGTCTCTTCTTACTTAACTTCCACTGTGTACAGCTTTTGAAAAATCTGTGGGGGAACATTTGACCCATATTTTTGATTTTTTTTTTCGTTTTCTCGAAAACTACTTCTCTCAAATTTGAGTTTTGGTTTCAATGGACAAAATTTTTTTGAAAACCTGCATAAGTGGCCACGGCCAATTTTTTTGCATATTTTGTGGATCTTTTTGACTGTTTTGTGGATCTTTCGACTTTTCTCGAAAACTATTCTCTCAAATCTGATATTGTTAGTTCAATGAAATAAAAGGTATTGGAAGCTTCTCTAGTTTAGTGGACTATAACATAAGTTTTACACAAGAAGTTATCCCGCTCTGAAATGTCAAATTTTTGATTTTTTGACAGTTTTTTTTAAACTTTGAATATTCTCGGAAACTACACTGTCATACCTGAAATTTTGGCTTCAATTCTCAGAACGGGCCCTGGGAAGTTCATTTGCTTATGCTTCTACGCCCAAATTTTTTAACTCCAAAAGTTTTGGCCTTCGGTAAATTATAAAATATGATCTTGTGACCGTTTTTTTTTTAATTTTGGCTTTTCTCGAAAACTACTCTCCCAAATCTAATATTGTGGGTTCAATGAGATAAAGGGTATTGGGAAGCCACCGTGCATTAGTATACTTTAACAAAAAGTTTTACTCAAGAAATTATTGCCGTCTGAAAAGTCTAACTTTTGATTTTTCAACCGTTTTTTAAACTTTTTGAATATTCTCAGAAACTCCTTCTAAATCTCAGATTTTGGGTGCAATGTATAGAACGGGTTGTGGGAAGCTCCCTTGCATGCGCGGCTACGCCCAGTTCTTTCAATACAAAAGTTATGACCCTCGGAAAAGTCAATTTTTTGTTTTTTCCATTTTTTGAAATTATTTGACCTTTCTCGAAAACTACGCTATCAAATCTGCGAAGAAGGGCTTAACGCGAAATTTTTTCCTGCAGAACCGTTGGTTCATTGATTTCTTGTAAGTAAAATGAAATGTGCTCGGGAATTGTCAAAATTTACAAACTTATCTCAGAAGCAACTAAGGTTTTGGGCAAAGTCGAATTTTTGAAATTACCAATCTTATCCCGCAACAGTATAACACATTCAAAAATTATCCAACAGGTACTTCCAGCTGCAGCTGGGCCCCTTGTTGTCTTTCAGCGAGACATGCAAAAATTTTGGTTCTCCTTGTTTTTCAATATTTTTCTTTTTCGACTTACATTTTTTTAAATATATTTGTGTTGTATCACAAGTGGTGCGAAGCTCTGCACCGACTCTGTGTTTAAATACTCACCTCTTTTCTTGTTCAGCAGACAAGCAACTTACCCACACTGTTGGAGGGTGGATGTTGGAGTGAGTGTGAGGGGAGTGCAAAAGTGAGGACGGTGGGGGCGAATGCGATGAGTGAAGTGGAGGTCATTGTGGTGCAAGATGACGTCACTGGCACTCTCTACATTGCCTATCTGGCATCTCCCTTGTGAGTTTTTAGCAGCTTTTTGCCCATTATTATTCTTTCAAAACAAGCTATTGCCATGTGCCGTTAAAGGAACAGTTTTTTAATGGAAAATAGTGATCGAAACTGTACACGTGTTATTATTCTGCGTAAAAAATCTTTTTTGAAGATTTGATATTTTTTGTTTTCAGAAGTGAGGCAAATGAAATGCGCGGAAATAGAGTTGTGCAACAGCAGCAGCATTGCATCGAGGCAAGTTTTGTGTTGTACAGTGAAAGAGAGCAGGAAACACCACAAGGCCACGGCGCAGTGCAGAGCTTCTCTGTTGGGTGTGGTAAAGTGGTCGCATGCACAGACAGAGGCGAGGTCAGTGCATTTAAAAGAACAATCATGTGAACAAATTCCCCTCACTCAGTTGACGGGGAGATTGTTCTCTACTTATCTGGGTCGATAGTGTTATTTTCAACTAATCAGAATTCAGAATTTTGAAGTTGACATGCTGTTCGAGTCTAAAAGAGCGAAGTGATTTTCCCTTATATAGGTCTTGTTAATTTTTTGCCTGTTCAAGAGTAATGAACGTAGTGAAGACCCTTATGTAGGTCTTGGTGATTTTTTTCAGGAAAAAGTCATAAAATTCTCTAATGACTATTTATTTAGGTATATTTATGAATGCAATTAGGTATATATGCTTTTCTGAGTTCATTTGAAATTCATCTGCTGAAATTTACTTAAATCGCATTTTCCAAATACGAATATTGAAATGGCGCGAAAAAACGTGAACCATTTCTAGTTTCGAAAGTGTTATTGAATTTTTAGATTTTTCAGCGGAATAATTACTTTTCCTAATAAAACAGTTTTCTCGTATTCGGTTGATTTTATCAAAAAGCTGCTATATTTTTGTTGTATTTTGCCACATGTTTGTTTGAAATTCGGAAAATTTTCCCTAAAAGTCAATTCTTTTGTTTTTTTTTGTGTTCATTGACTTTTTTCCAACTCTGTGTATTATGAGCTGCTTTATTAAGAGTAATGAACGTAATGAGTACTCTTATATAGGTCTTGCTGATTTTTTTTCAGCAAAAGTCTTAAAAAATGTTCACGCTCAATTTTGATTTTTCGCGGTTTGACTGGTGATTTCTTTTTAAGTTCAATGCATTTCTTTTGTTAAAAGGAAGGCAAACTCCTTTGTCGAACCGCAAAATTGTAAAGGTCGCGAAAAACGTGATCGACTTCTAATTTCAAAAATGGAAATTAGTTATCAGATTTCCCAGCGAAATAAAAGTTTTACCTATTGATCCATCCAGTTTTCTCAGATTGGGTTAATTTCAGCAAAAAAGTGTCCATCGTAAATTGTTCTACAATTTCAAAAAAGGCCATCTATTTTTTTCTTGGAAATTCAAAAGTTGATAATTTATAATAAAAAAAAGATTTTTTTTTTGCAGTTTTCTTGCGTTCATTACTCTTTTCCAACTGTCAGTTAGCTTTATTTATTAAATTTAATTCAAGTTCGGTTGGTAAAAGGGAGGCAATTTACGCCCTACATTTTAAGGGAATTCGTACAAAGAAACGTGAAATGGTTGATCCAGTTTTCTCTGATGGGTGAGTTATATGCAAGAACGTTTCAATCATAAGAAGACTTGAAACTGAAAGAGCTTTAACGTGATATAATTTTTCTCCGAAATTCAAAGGTTGGCAATTTTCAAACAGGAATCTTTTCTTTTTCGGTCTTCCACTGTTTGTTGACACTTTTCCAACTGTATGTTGGATTTGTTATTAAATTTATCAAAAAAAATGAGTGGTTGTTTAGGTGTTACAGTGGGATTTGTTTTCTGGAAGAGTTGATTGGGGTCCTGGCAGACTGCAGAGACCCCCTCTGGAGCACATCAGCTTAGGTTTGAAGACAGGAGAGGGAGTAGTGGGTGTGTCTGTGTGGGATCACGCCTTGATACATCTCTCCAGTGGAACTGTGGTGTCAATTTTTGAACAGGGTCAGTACCTTACGTTGTTGCACGATAAAGTAATAATGTTAGATTTTCAAAAATTATCCGTTCCATTTGGGAAATCATGGTTAAGCCATCATCCCTCTAAGTTTGCCGCTCTTTTTTTACGAGTAGTATTAGCAGGGGCGGATCTAAGGTTTTCTGGAAGGGGGTGGATTTTCAAAAAAAAGTTGTCCCATTTTTTGTAGACCAAATTGATGTTCTTAGCACTCTAAAACACCTTTGAAACCCTATTTCTGAAAAATTTTCTGCGCCGTGGGCAAATTTTTGTAGAAGCAGGTTAAAGTTTTTTTTCTAAAGTTATGACAAGTCGCAATTTTTCGGTGCGCGCACCCTCTCAAAATCAGTATATTTTAGTGCCAAAGGCGCCTTACGAAAAGTTTCAGGGTCGGTCGAAAACGAATTTCGAATATACTACCAAAGAGGCGAGTCTTTGAGTCGCTTGGTTTTCGAATCCCTGAGAGAGACATAATTGTTTGAAAATATAGAGTTTTGTTCAATGATTTTCCGGAAACAGTCTTACTGACTAATTCGCATTATGTAATGATGAAAGAAATATGTTCTGTTTTCAGACAACGACTTTATCCAAAAGAGATTCATCCAATCTGACCACGAAGTTAAATCAGTCCACGCAGGTCCCGGAGTTTCTTTTTTCATCTCGAAGGCAGGAAAACTGTTTTCGTGGAGCGAGCAGAATTCAGTGCTGAGTCTGCAGGGGTCGTCTAATTCCCAGCCTAAACCAGTTGAATGTCTGGCTCATGTAAATGTTGAATCGATCCATATTTCTCCGAACAGCTGTGCGGTTGTGACAGAGGACCATGAATGCTTACTGTGGGGTAGTATTTCGTCGTATTCCGGTAGACAAGTAGGAAACAAATCACACTCTGCGAAACCTACCAACGTTAGGAGCATCATGACGAGCAAAGGCGACGAAAGAGGAACTCTTTCGGGAGTTCATCTGTTTCTAGACCAGCTGATAGTAGAATTTGTGACAGAAAGTGAAGCACTGAGTTTAAGAGAACCTTTTGTGATTCAAGTAGATGCGGAGACTATAGAACTGATTGAGTGTGTTCTGAGGAGTTTGTACCATAGTACCAGCGGAAGCAATGAAGACTTGGTTCCGAATGAGACAGAGGAAACTGTGACGGTAGCTCTGATCAATGTGCTCTCCTTGCAACTTTCCGTAACTTTGAGAAGCAAAAAAGAAAGTCAAGTTAAGACATCGGACTTCTGCAAGCAGGTAGAGAAAGTTAAAGACATGATATGCCATTTTTCTTGGTCGCCAGACGTGATTGAAAGTATTCAAGAAGCTGCTCAAAAATGCTTGCAAGAATGTTGGCCGCTTCTTCTGCCTTCGTCACACGAGAGAAGCGAACTTTTGCTGCAAATGCTGTTAGGACACAAAAAAGATATCAGTAACGCAGAGTTCTTAGTAGATCTGCTGATGGGAAGTCTGCTTGCAAATGGAGAACTGGAATCGGATGTGAGACAGACAGTGACGTCATTGCATGAGATGTTGAGGAAGAGAACTGTAACAGAGACGAAAACCACAGGTGTCGACATAATTCTTGAAACTGAGCTGGAATCAGAACTAGATGAGTTGTATGACAGGAGTGGGAGCGGGCTAAAGTGGTCCGAGAAGATAGTGAAAGAGACATTGGTGCTGTTGGATCCTCACATCGTCCGTCTGATGAGTCTCCTTGTAGACATGAGAAACGGAGTGGCTTGTGACAAAAGTCTCCAATTACTGAGCAGTTTTGTTCGTCTTTTGTTTCACATGCTGCTGGAGCACAGCTTTTCTGTAGAGCGAAAAACAAAAATGCACAGTGAAAATTTAAAAATGATATGCTGGTCACTGATTATGCACTTGGCAAATGAACTAATTGCAAGTAGTTATAATACTCTGAAAGCTTGCTTTGAGAAATGCAAGAGCGATGAAGATGCAATTGAAGGCAACTTGGCGAAAGATTTGCAAAAAGAGCCGAACCTGATTTTACTGCGAGAAGTTCTTCTGACTATCACGACAGTCCTGCGTCCTAGTGGAATGACCCTTTCGAATGAGTTCATGTCATTTGTTCAAGGCTTAGCTGAAGTGTTGGCTAAATTGAACCATAAGCTCTCATCTAGTCATGGATCTAATTGCAGCGGCTTGGAGTACAGTGAATTGTCTGAGTGCTTGGACATATTCGATGGTCAGAAAGATGCTCTCTCTCTTTTGCCGCTGAGTGAGCTTCCAAGAATAGCAGACAGCGATCTACACAACCATAATGTAATGGCTGGTGAAAATAATAAGTGGGTAGTGATTGGAAAGATTGTCTATGAAACGAGATGGCTCTCGGAGAGCGAGCGGGATCTTTTTAGAGACTTCATGGAATCACAAACACAATCTGAATCTGCTCAGAGTCACAGTGAAAAAGAAGTGCCCGAGAAAGTTCTGAAGATGCTACAACCTCATATTCGAGGAAAGCTGACTGACAAAGCGAGGAGTCAGTTTTCGCATGTTAAATCAGATCAATTGTCTCCATTTATCGACCTTGAGCAGTTGACTAACTTCTTAATAGGATACTCAAGTACCTTGAACAACTCTCACCCATCAGTTAACGATGATACCAAATCGGAGAACGCGGAGTGGGCGTTACGACTGGCTCACTTCGGACTCAGATGGAGAAAGCAAGAGCTAGCAAGTAGCCTTAAGGGACTGAAAAAGAGACAACCAGATGTTGTATCGGTGCTAGGTTTCGCCCAAAACGTATGCGAAAAAGTTGAGCAAAATGTAGACAGATTTGTTGAAATTATGCTAAGAAGTGACCGAATGAAAGACCAGAAGCATGCTGATGAATGTGAGACAAGAGTCTCGTTGTTCCTCGACAGGTTCTGGGAGGACTGCAAAAGACAGATGAACTGTATCAAGTTGGAATCGGGACATGCTCTTGAGGAGCTGTCATTGATTCTTCTGACACTGATATTGAAACATGAAGGACTCTTGCCAGGTCAGGACTTTTTTTGACTGATGGAGAAGAATTTGAATTCTACTAGTTAACAAAATTGCTAAGTTGGGAAAATCACGCTCATCAGTGGTAAAAGTTTGGCGTTAATGATTTATATCACCATTCTTGATGGCATTATTATGCTTGCGAATAGCAAGCGTTATTAAAAACCAGTAAACTTATATATTTAAAAGTTAAGTTATCAATGATTTTGAAGCTTTGCTTCGGAATTGATTAAAAATGATTTGTAGGTGTGCTGAGAGAAGAAAAACCTCTGTCAAACTTCAGACTGAAAGAAATTGCGAAAAAATTGACTGCATTCCGAGTAGCCGTGATCAAATTGCACCAGGAGAACCCCCAAGTATCTTATAAGGAACTATGTGCTCCATTTTTTACTAGATGTCTTTTTCTCTTGCGTACAATACGACCTGCATTTCTGGTCAAAGTACAAAAAGATGTCGTAGCTAACAACTCAGTTTCAAATATAAGTAACAAATGGCTGGTCGCGTTGCGGAAAATCAATGGTCAGAGGAGCTCTTCAGTTTTTGCAACTAAGCCAAAATTTCCGGCTATGAATTGCCTTCAAGGAAGTGCAGAAGTTTCTGCAGACATAAGCAAACTGATTCTGACCTTTGTCAATGAGGGTCCTGCAATTAGTGACCTGAGGACGCTGGAAGTGCAAATGGACTTATTGTGGGAAGAACATAATGATGAGTTAGTTACAGTTGGTATTGTTGATACGTCACTCTTTGGTTGACCCGGTCAAAGCCGGTTTTAAATCACCTGCCAAATAAAACAAGAATAATCGCTTGCTATGCTCTTCTCATTTATATATTTTGTTTTTCCTTTTTTTACACAAGGGCAATGCAGTGTCTTATTATGGTAATTAAGGCCATTTTGTTCTTTGAACTACGTTGAAGTTTTTCAAAAAACAGTCAGTTTTTTTTCTGTTTCCTTGCGTTAATTACTCTGTTCAAACTGAGTTGCCTATGTTTGAAATGTTGACCATTTTTTGAAATCTTCTTCATTTTCTCAAAATCTACCTTGCCACAATCTTAGGTTAAGGGTTCAACCGCAAAAACCAGTGTTAACTTCATTGCTTAAACGGCTATGCCAAGTTTTTGTTAAAAAAGTTTTGGTCATAGAAATCGTCCAATTTGGAAATTTTGAACGTTTTTCGGAAACTTTATGACTGTTCTCAGAAAATGCACTTCCAATTTTGAGGCTAAGGGTTTGTTTGAAAAAACTTGTTTTATGAATCTTCTCTGCACAAGTGGTGTCCTGTCAATTTTTTAATTATGCAATTTATCGCCTGAGAAAATGTAATTTTTTAAGTTTTGTCCTTTTTGGAAGCTTTTTGAATTTTCTCCAAAATTTTACTGCTAAATCTAAGACTAAGTGTACAATCAAAGGAACATGCGCTATGAGGTTTATCTTCTTAGTGGCTACGCCCTAATTGTTGTAGAAACGCAATGTTAGACAAACGTCCTTTTTTGAGTTTTTTGTTTTGGGAAAATATCTTTTGCAGCAGTACATTATTAAAAATATTATCAAACTGGTACCTCCAGCTTTTGCTGGGCCCCTAGTGTTTAACTATTGTGAAGCGGCAATGGCGCAGATGCTGGGATGTGTGACGTTGAATCTCGAGGTCGGGCTTTCGAGTCCGGTACATTAAAGATTAAGTTTTACCTTTTCATTTTTGACCCTTTTTTTGCTGATTCGTGAAGTGCAGCTTCGCCTCTTTGTAACCTTATTTTGTTTAAACAGATCTGTGAATTTTTAAAAGCGTATTGAGATATAGCTGTCAATAGTTTATTATTTTCAGACACAGACGGTTGGATTCACTTGTCAGCTACGTTGAGGACAATATCTGTGCTCTGACGAAAGATTATCCCTTTTTGTCGAGGGAAACCGCCTTGTACCTTGGCCTAGCTTGCGGCTTAAAGGGAACAGCTATTTGTTCGCGCGATATGGAAAAAACAGCACTCGGAGTGCGAGAGGAGATAATTATGTCGGCTCTGCATTCTGTTACAGGTATGCACGGGGAGGGAGGGAAGGAGCCACCCACTCAGGAACCATCATTTTACCACATCCATTTTTGGATAGCCAGCTTTAAAAACTTCTGAAGGAACCTATGGCGCCAATTCACTCAGTTTTGAGGTGATAGCACCGCTTTTGGAAAGTTTTGGTCAAAACTGTATTTTCAGTACGTTTCTGTAAAATTTGTCTGCGACTCAAAATATTGGAGATTGCGGAAAGTAATTTTGAACCGAATTTTACCCAAACCTCGATATGTCAAACCTCGAGAACGCGATATTTCTGCCGCTTGATCCGTGCTCTTCATGTTTTCCAAAAAATGTATGCTGTTTTCTTACGATTTCTTGTTTACGATAGGTGATGTGGTACTCAACAGAGTGAGTGATGTGCTTCTGAGACAGCTAAACTGTACTGTTGGACAGTTTGAGAGAGAATTGAAACAGAGACAGCTAATCAGTCCCAGCATCACTAGCATGCAAGGAGTGACCTCGCAACAGCAGATTTACGCTCTAGTTGCTAACAAATACGCCAGGTTGGTCGAACGCATTACGTCTTCAATTGGCAAGCTGTGCTTATGAGAATAGGTTTCGCGTCTTAGACAAATGTCAAAAAATTGGCCTTTTTGAATAATGTTGAAGGTTCTGGCTAATTTTTTCAGGGCTCGCTTCCATCTGAAATTTTGAAAAAACAAGCGGTGTCAAAAAAAGAACAAATTTCAAGATGTATAGTAAGATTTTGCACTTTCACATCTGGTATGATACACATGTGTAAATCACGAACAAAACATTTATTTTAATGAAATATTCGTAATTTTTTTTTATATTCGTGTTGCGTGATTGCACCAGTATTTCAAATTTTGCACTATTGTTTCAAATTTTGAACTAATTTTTCAAATATGGAAACTTACTGCACACGTGTTTCATATGATGCTTATACTGCATGTGCAAAAGTCAAAAAGCATACATTTCGTCTTTTTTGTTAGCAAGACAAAATTTATACAAGACGTAAACTGCTATTTCTTGATTTTCTTTTCGCTAATGCTTAAACACTAAAAAGAAGGATTATTAATTAATTTTTTTCTGCAAATGCAAAGGTTTATGAAATGTTGCGAGCAGTTAGTGTTTTAGTACGAACCGTCTTTTTTTTTCTAACCTAACTCGCTAATAAAAGTATTCATTAAAAGTGTTCACTTCTGTGCCTTTTTGCGATAATCACGATCTGTAGCCTAGGAAATTTCATAACATGTGTTCTCGGCTTTATTTAGGCTAGTGTTTGTGATGGACTAAGCGTCCGTGGCTGAGTGGTTAGTGCATGATTCTCATAATTTCTAGGTTGCAGTAGGTCTAGGTTCGTTTCCGAGACTCGCCGAATTTTTCTAATTCAAGGCTTACTTTTACTCTTTCTTTTTGTCCTTTTTAGAACTCTAGAGCTGCTTTTTGCCGTGTGCTCGCTACCAGTGTTTGCCTCCGTAATAATTATTTGTATCTGTGTCTTTTCATGTAAACGAATCTGAAGCCAAAAAGCTCTATGGAACAGAAGGTTTTTATGATCAATTGTTTCGTGAGGATAGTTTCATAGTTTTTTAATTGATTTCCGGTTTATTTTCATGTCCAAAGGTTGAGTGTTTACACAAGCATGGCTTGTGTTATATTATGAACTCATTTTCCAACCTAAGTCGCAAATATTGTTGCGATGCAATTGTTGCGACAAAATGTGTTCATTGTGATCCAGCTATTAAGTACAGCCAATTCTAAAGATATTAACACAGACTATTATTTTACAAATAGCTTTTTAGCTTCAAGGCTTCATAGATCTGTAGCGTAGATGTAGGAAAGGAGACCAGCAGCAAAATAAGAGGGTTCGAACCTGGGCAGGGTCGGATGTTTTTAATGAGCTTTTTCGTAAACTAGTTTAAATGCGTCCGCTCTATAAGTTTAGTCATGTTACTTGGTAAATTTCTTTTTTCAAATTGACTGCTAATGCGTCTTAATTGGCTTGCGTCACTTAGCAATTTTGTAGACTCTCAATTGGCGTGCATCACTTATGAAATTTTGTAGACTCAAATTTTTACGTATTCAGTTTTTCCCAGTAGCGTTATCGGTCATATTTTTGCTTGTGTATGCGTATTGCAACTTCGCCTCTGTGTAAGAATTTGATTTTCATGTTCTACTTTGCACATCTTTTTTAATTTAATAGCAAAAAAGCTACCCTTGGATACTTTGACCCACGTGTTTTGTTGTATAAATTGATTTATTTAGAAACGATGAACGTAGCTCAGACTCTTTTATAGGTCGTGATGATTTTTTTGGTAGGAAAAGTCTGGACAATTGTTCAGGCTCAAATTTACCTTTTAGTGGTTTGGGTTTTGATTTCTTTTCAACTTCAATTCGTTCCTTTTGTTGAGAGATTCCCCTGCAACTTGAAAATTTTATTTATTGATTCAGTTTTTCTCAAATCGGGTTAATTTTATCTGAAAAGTGTCAATCAGAAATTGCTCTAGAATTTCAAGAGCTGAAGGGCAACTATTTTTTCTTGGAAAATTGAAAGTCAGTCTTCCTTTACACTTGCGAAGCTAATGTATTAGTACGAACCTTCTTTTTTTCAACCTAAGTCTCAAATATTGCTGCCACTTTTAGGGCACTCTTACAGCTTTTACATAGCATGTGCGTTGACATTCGAATAGTATTAAGTTAACACAGTCGATGGATTTTTAATTCATCAAATGAACCAAAAAAAAGTGATTTGTTTTGAAAAACAGCAGGAATGAAAACTTGAATTCAGAGATTTTCTAACACAATATATCTCGCAATTTTTTGAAATACTTAATTTATACTTAATGTGGCTTTATGGTTTGCAGTTTGTTTCATGCAAAAGTAGTGTGAATGCCTTCATTTTGCTATATTCCAACTTATTACACGCAAAATTGAGTCTATTTCTATTTGGTGCCTTTTTTGCTAAATTGCATTGGCAAGTTATTAGCATATGTAGCTGCTTTTCGTAACTAGTGCTCGTCTGTTGTTTAGCTTGCATGGTTGAGTGGATGAAGCGTGAGACTCAAAATATTTTGTGTGCACTATGTCGCAGATTTGAATCCTACACGTAGCTGAGTTTTTGCTAATTCGCTTATTTCTTTTTTGCTAATTAGGCTTATTTCTATTTTTTCTTATTTAATTGATACAGCTGATATATGGTCGTATTCTCACAAGTGTTTGCAAAGCGCAGCTTCGCCTCTCTGTTTTCTGTTTACTTGCGTTCATTGACTTCTTTTCATCTGTCATTACAATCGGGTACTAGGTTTTTTGCCGTAAACAACTTTGTCCACAGGATGACCAAAATTTGGTCATTTCCAAATAAATCCCTCTTTTCTTTGTTTCTACTCAAGATGCACGTCTAAATGCTGTAATTCAAAAGCTGGTTTCAAAAGTGATAATTGTTTTACAGCTGAAAAAGATTTTAGATGTAAGTTGATTTTTTTATCGGCTTTATTGATTTCGACCCCGTTTTTTGTCGGCTTACATGCCGGGTAATTTATTTTTTATTTTTATGGCAGACTTTTTGATACTTTTTTTAAATTTTTTTTCAGATGAATTAAAATTTATGTTTTCTTGTTTTTATAGGCGCCAAAAGTTTCCCTTAAAATAAAATTTTTTTGAGTTTTTCTGCTAGAATTTTTTTTGCAAATAATATTTGCTTTTTTTCGGATACATGGTTTCTGATTTTTCAATGCTGAAAGTGCGTGAAACTAGTTTAAGTTTTACTTAGATTGAAGTATTTTAGGCTTGAGCAAGTTTATTTGAAATTGATTCAATTTGCTGGTTTAACGTATTGTTTCAAAGGAATGTGCCGGCAAGTTCTGCTCGAGACTTAGGCGTGTGGTTCTTTGTGGCCGGTTTTTTTTTCCATTTTAGGTTTTATTAATGTTTTCTTTTCTGATCTAGCTCTTTTACCGTTGCGTATAAATTTCATAACTGATAACTCTTGATATAAATGCGTTGTTTTCATAGACTTTAGGAGTTTTTTTAAGTTTTTTGCAGCCATTGTTTGTAATTTTTGCTTTCTTGTGTTTGAAATTTTGTTTGTTTTATTTTTTCATTTTGATCTTTTACTATAGCGGATAGGCCCTTTATCCCCGATTGTTCTGATCGGATATGCAGATTCTTTGGCTGCAAGGTTTAATGAACAGTTTTTGAGTACATTTAGAGATTATCGTATCTCAGTTTTTTTGAACGAAATATTTTCTTATCTTTTTCGTCTATTGGTTATCAGAAAGTATTGAATGGAGTTAAACCCAAATCCTTTTTTTGCTTTGAAGTTAATTGACTTCTATATCAATTGCAAAAAAAAGTGTTAACTGTTTTTTTAGCCTACAAATTCTTCAAAATTCATTCATTTTTTTTTTCAATTTTTGTTGCAGACACTTGATCTTTTTATTTTTGGAGCTTTATTGCGTATCGCAAGTGGCGCGAAGCTCAGCTTCACCTCTTTGTAAAATTTTTTGGCGGTTTGAATTTTTTTCGCGGTTTGACTTTTGATTTTATTCAAGTTCTGTTCATTTCCTATGTTAAGTGGAATGCTATCTCCTCTAAAACAGCAAAAGTGAAAAAGTCCCAAAAAACGTCTTCGGCTTTTAATTTCGAAAGTAGATTTGGATTAAGAGCAATGAACGTATTGAGTACTTTTATATAGGCCTTGCTGGTTTTTTTGTTTTGTTTTCAGGGAAAAGTCTTAAAATTTGTTCACGCTCAATTTTTCGCGGCGTGACTTGTGATTTCTTTTTAAATTTAGTGCATTTCTATTGTTAAAGGAAAAGCAAACTCCACTATCGAACAGCAAAAGATGTGATTGACTCCTAATTTCGAAAATGGAAATTAATTATGAGAACTCCCAGCGAAATAAAAGTTTTTCCTATTGATCCAGTTTTTTCAGGTTGTGTCCACTTTAACAAATAAGTGTCCATCATAAATTGTTCTACAAATTCAAAAGTTGAAGATTTTTGTTAAGTTTCCTTGCGTTCATCACTCTTTTCCAAGTTTCAGTTTGCTATGTTTTCCAGATTTCCAATAAGATCGAAAAGTTACCTAGCAATCTAGCTTTCTCAAATTGGATTAATTTTATCAAAAAAGTGTCAAACATAATTTTTTCTAGAAATTCGAAGAGCTATAAGGCTATCTTTTTTTTTCTTTGAAACTCGAAAGTTTTCAGAAAACAAGTCAGTTTTTTCGAGTATCTTGCGTTCATTGACTCTTTAAGATTAAAAGAAAGTAGTGAGTACTCTTACATAAGTCTTGCTGATTTATTTTTTCAGGAAAAAGTCTTAGAAGTTGTTCACGCTCAATTTTGATTTTTCGCGGTTTGACTTGTGATTTCGTTTTAATTTTAGTGCATTTCTGTTGTAAAAAGGAAGGCAAACTCCACTATGGAAGAAAAAGTCTTGAAATTTGTTCAGGCTCAAATTTACTTTTTCGCAATTTGAATTTGATTTCTTTTTAAATTCAGTTCATTTCCTTTGTTGAAAGGAAGGCAAACTCCACTATCGAACAGCAGAAGTGTAAAGGTCACGATTAACATAATCGACTTCGTTTTGAATGTGGATTTTAGTTTTCAAATTTCCCATCGAAATGAAAAAGTTATCTATTGATTTTCAAATGGGCTGGGTTTAACAAAAACGCAGCATTCATAAAAGATTCGTGAAATTCAAAGAGCTGCAAGGTGATTTATTTTTTTCTTACTTAAAATCGCAAGCTGAAAAGTTTTGGTCTCATGGAGTTCATTGAGAGCTCTGCTGCACCTCTGTGTCATTCTCAGAATTAGTGAGGTTGAACATGTTTGAATCTTCCTTATTTTGTTGTTTTTAGGCCCATCAGCCAGCTACTGCATGTGATCTGCAGCCTCCCGCTCAGTGGGTGGTCCGGGAAACATCCCGGAGAACCTCAACTCAATTCGATTGGATCCAATCTTAGTCTCGTAGACTGTGGTGCTGTGAGTTCTCTCATACGCCTTAAACATCTTTTTGGGCCCCTGTGTCCGTCAGAAGCCCTTGATAGCGGCTGTGAACTGGGGGCAGATAAAGCAGCAGCAGTTATGGACTCGAACTGTGTTTATTTCGAAGAAGACAACGAAGAGCAAACAAAGAGCGAAAGTGGCCACAGCAGTGCAAGAAGGAGAAAGACAACAATAGCTGCTTACGAGAAAGATCAAAAGGAAATGCCAACTGGCAAAGACATGCTCAAGTTAGTCATTATGGCATTAAAGTCATCCGAGTACCGTGCAGAAGTTACGCCATGAAATATGTTTTTTTTTGGTTTTGTTATGACCATCAGTTTATCAAAACTTTTCGTTCTCAAAAATATTTTTGTTTCTCAGAACCATGTTTCTCAGAACCATGTAATTCTCATCATGCACTATTTAATATTTTTTCTGCTTTGAAATTCACACATTTTTCGCAGCCCTCTTACGTTGTTTTTGTAGGCTAAGGGTTTCGATGTCATCATATAATAATTCTCGTTTATTTTAAGAAGCTTATAAAAATTTCCGTTCATTTTGTAGGTACATGAAACCAGGCACTCGAGTTGTGCGAGGTCCAGACTGGAAGTGGGAGGAACAGGATCAGCCGTTCGGGGAAGGAACTGTGGTAGAGGGAGTGAGTTCAAACGGATGGCTCAAAGTCAGATGGGGACCACCTCCAGCAGCTTCGCGATCTTCAGGACCAACATCAGCTCAATCGTTTTCATTCCCAGACGATGCAATGACGACGCAGCAACTAATGGAGCCAGTGATGCTGTTGGAAAGGGTAGGAGGAGGTTCTGGAAATGGAACTGCACTCCTGGCCGCGGAAAAGAAAGTGAACTCATACAGGATGGGAAAAGACAATATGTATGACTTGATGATCTCGCCATCATACTGGCGTAACTTATGCGGACTGAACGCCTCTGATAGGACAGGAGCTTCAAAAGCTGAAGTATCCTCTAAGTTGAAAGCGAATGAATTTGACTCGAAATGTGTTGGCAGGAATCCAGCGGAGAAGATAGTGTCCGCTTTTGAGACTTGTATAGCGGCCTGGACATTGGACTTATGTGCATCTAGAGCACCATCAAAATCTGGCGCCATCAGCGAGTGTTGTTCGAGGAATATAGTAAATTTGCTCATTTATGCTCTGCGACAAATTGTCTGCGAGAAAGATGATGTCGCGAATTCAACTGAAAAAGTGAACGACAAAACAAATCATGAAATGAACCGAACCGACCCTTTGAATTTGCTACACATTCTGTTCTCATTCAACACGCGCATTAGCAGAAAATTCGGAGGCAGAGTCATCCCTGTTCTGCTCCAACTTATTTCCACTGATGCAGAAAAATTCTCAACGGGGTATAAAATACGTGCAATCAAAACGTTGAAAACTATTTGCATAGATAACCATACCTCTGAGAACGCTTCTTGTGACTCAAAATTGATCGACGAAATTGTATCAATGATCAAATCATATGTCGGAAAAGTATCTGAGCAGCAAGCCGAAATGGGAGCTAAAGTTTCCTCGACCGACTCGAAAATCAAACCCAGTGATTCGGCAACTCCTGCAAGTGCCGTGTGTGATCAGCTCATAGAACTCCTGATCTCGATTCAGAATTGCAACGAAACAAGCAGGCAAGTCATCAATGAGCTCGTTCTGAACAGTCTTCAGAAAATACTAGCCTTCTTTTCACTCCCTCAGGAAAGCGAAGGAAACTTGGACGAAGAGGGAAGTCTGAGAAGGAGTTCCACTGTGAGTTTTAGATCCAGTTTTGACGATCCGGCAGAAGAGTCGCAGTTCCTCGAAATGGTAGCATTTCTGTCCCTCATTCTGGGCCAAAGTGACCCTAGACCTCAACTGGGTTCCCAAGTTACTGATGCTGAATTGGGTCAATGTGAGGTGACTGCCGTTACGCAATCGGGATACCTGATCAGCCGTTCCAGCGATGGCGTTATGAGCACGTGTAAAAGTGGAGATATTCAGAAGACACCTCCTCTATTTAATCTGCCCAGTCTCTGTTCATCTCAAAATGCGCTGTTGCTCTTGAACAACCTGTTTGCGCTCTCTGTTTTCCAAGGACGCAATGTGTCCGAAGCGCCTAACAATGACGGAAAAGTAAACAGATATGATGTCCTAGCCACGCAAGTGGAATCGATGCTAATCAATATGTTGCGCCTTGTTTCAAAAGACAAAGAAGTACTGAAGTCTATTCTACTTTTAAATGGTGGTGAAAGCTCAGGCGAGACAACTTGTGGGATTGATTTTAAGCGAATGTTGCAAACAGCAACCAAACCATCTCCGTTAAAGCAAATTTTCGACATCGATCAAGTGCAAAATGCCATCGGACTGACTACCCATTTTCTGTTGAATCCAGTTGAGATTCCTCTCAAATCAGAAAGGGAACCGTATGGGTCATCTGAAGCTGACTCAGCTGGGCCGTCAGATCCGCATCTAGACGCGATGGAGGAGTTCCTCCAAGAGTTAGAGACCGAAACCCCCTCATCTGGAATAGGAACTATGGCACCTTCCACTTCAAACCTGAGAGATAGCAGATCATCTCATCCCTGGTTGCCCTCTATGTCTAGCGAGGGTTTCGGAGTGGAACAGCTGATGCCGAGAGCTAAATTGAGTAACAGGAGAGTTGAGACTGCAGTATCGCCACCATCTCCAGTACATGAAATAGAAACGCTAGTCGCACAGGGAATAGAAATGGGATTCGAACGATCGCACGTGGAATTGGCTGTTCATTCGCTGACTCAAGCAAGTAGTATTGAGGGATATCGACCGCGTATTGAAGCAGTGGTTAGTTGGCTGGTGGAAAATCCTAGAGAGCCAGGAAATCAGGCGAATGACGAGGTAGAAGTGAGCTCAGATGCTTCCACCATGCAGATTGGCGACGTCGATAGATTGAACTCTACTGAAGAGGAGATAGACAGCTTGGTAGAGAGAATGAGCGAGACACTGCAAAGGACTACCAATTTGACAGAAATATTCACAGAACTGAGAGAGACCTTAAGGAACCAGTCGCTGGGTTCTACTGACGCAGTAGCTGGTACCGACTGGAATAGCGATGACGATTCGTCTGTCAATTCGTCTGACGAAGCAAGTGTATCTTTAGAGGCAAATGCAACAGAACAAGACCAAACAGCAAGCCTGGAAACAGAAAGAGAAACTGAGAGATCTGTTTGTTCTCCTCTTGTGTGCACTCCAAACAGTGAATCAATAGCTTCAGCAGATCCAAGTCAGATATCTCCTCCACAACAAGGAAGCTCACACGAGAACAGTGCTGGATTCAAGACGAGACAGGACTTCGTGACTAATGGAGACTACGCTATTTATGTTAGGGAGCATATACAAGTAGGCATGCAGGTCAAATGCTGTAAGACTTTCGAAGAAGTATATGAAGGCGATGTTGGCACTGCTGTTAAACTGGACAGAGACGGACTTCATGAGTTGAACGTAAATGTGGACTGGAAACAAAAAGGTGGAAATTATTGGGTACGATACATACACGTTGAACTGCTGGGATTTCCACCATCAGAACAAGAACCACAGTCGGAATCGATTCAGTCATTGGGAAGAGGTCTTCGAAAGGGGAATGCTAGTGTCCCATCTGTTTCCCCTATGAGTGGTGGAGCGCAAGCAGCTTCCATTGTTATGGACTCCTGTGGTGAGAGGGCGGTTCATTCCGAGATAGTTTCCTCCGAAGTGGCTTTCAAGATCGGCCAACTCGTGAGAGTAAAACCGACAGTGGACAGACCTAGATATAAATGGGGTAATGTAAAACGGGGCTCTGTAGGGGTTGTAGCAGGTATCAAGAAGGGAGATGTCATTGTTGATTTCCCCGAACAGCCCAGATGGCATGGTCTAATGAAAGAATTGGAACCTGTGTCTAATGATGAGAACGGTTTGAATGGGAGTGATAACGTCAGAAGCAGGCCTTCAAACTCATGCTTGTGTTGTGCGTCTTCTGGAAGTAATACGACAGCTGGAGGTGGAAACGAAACAGCTCTCATTGATGCCTTGAGGTTGCCATGTTCACAATGTCCTTGCCATAAAGATACTGGAAGTTCAAACAGCGATGGAAGTACAAGTGTGGTGGACCCGCTGGGTTCTCTTCGCAAATTCCTTGCTCCAACAGCTTCGAGTGCATGTGCAGAAAAGGCTTCGAAAGAAACAGTTGGCTCTCAAAATGACAGAAGAAAGACAACTAATGGAGGTCTGATTAGTGATTGGAAGCAGTGCATACGCTGCGTAAAGGTAGTTTATATGCCTTAAAGTAACCTCAAAATGAAATATTCCCTTTCATTCTAGTTTGAGTTAGAATTTTAAACTTCTTTTGAAGGTGAGCAGCAAACCAGACATGGCCATGAACATGTTCTCATCAGATAGAAAACAGTTTTGGCAGAGTAGTGGTCAACAAGGAAACCATTGGATTCTACTGGAGATGAAACCAGACATTTTGCTGCATAGGTTGAGCATCGAGTGTGACTTTGAGGCATCTTCCAGTTACAGACCAAAAGTTGTGGTGGTAAGAAAACGAATTCATGAAGACATTTATACATGAGCAGAGGGATATTAATACATCCTAATTTATTACATGGAAAGTTAGTATGGTTGCCTTCAGCTTATTAAAATCCAAATTATTACATGCAAAAATGAGTTTTTGTGCATTTAAAGGCTGCCGTATCTTTGCTGCTTTCTTGCTCGTTTGCTAAGCTGCAGCTTTGCCTCTGTGTAAATGTTTTTGAAGCTGTCAAGCTGATCGCGGTTCCATTGCGTTCGTTCCAGAGAATTTAAAAAGGGAAAAATCAAGCAGAAAACGAACGTGAGTTTTATTAGGTGCTCAATGAGCGAAATGAAACAAAAATTGGTTTTTTCTTTGCTGAAAGGAAAAATTCGCGGTTGACTTCAGATTTTTTTTTTCAATTCAGTTCAAATGAATTTGCTAAAAAGTAGGCAAATTATGCTGTGCGATAACGAAAGAAAAGTGGTGCCAAGAAACGAGATTCACTAGTTTTGAAAGTGAATTTGAATTCAGAAAAAAATCTGTTTGTCCAGTGTTCTGAAAGTGAGTTGGGTTTTCTCAAAAAGGAGTATATCTTGAAAGATGCTTGAAGTTGAACAAGCTGTAAGGTGATTTGTGTTTTTCTTTGAATCAAATCGGAATATTGACTTTTTCGGGCTTAACAAATTTTACAACATCACTGAATAGTTTGCTGATTTTACTTTATTAGCATATGAAGTTCGTGGTATCAATTTGCCCCGTTTAGCGTGGAGATAACGTTCGTGCTATAGATAAAAAAAAATCATTGGTTCGAATTCGACCAGGACCTGTTTTTTTGCAATCGAAAAATTTTCCGTGTGATAAACTGTTCACCTGACTTTTGTTTGTGTCTGTTTTCGCCTTTGTTACCACAACCCGGAATTTGCTTGTGACTTAAGCTTTTTTCACTGTCATTCGAAAAAAAAAATTTCTATTCAATTTATTCCGAGTTGCAAGAAGTTTTGCTAAAGTTGTTGTGATTTTTAGCTTTTCTTTTGATTTCGGATTTTAGGAAGCTATTTTTGAAATTGTTTGTTTTTTCGGTTGATTCTTTGTTTTCAAGATGGTAATGATTGTGTTAACTTTTTGAAATTATGATTGTTTTTAATTTAAAAATTAAGTGAATGCCGGTGTTACGGCATGAAATGTTTTACCGTTTTACGTCCTCTTTGGCATATATTTCATTGGGCCCGTTTAATTTTGTCAAGTGAGCTTTTATGAATCATAAGTGTCAGAAATTGGCTTGACTAGATATTACTTTTTCTGAAATTATTTTGAAGTTCTCTGATGTTTTCTACTGTCTGATGTTTCTAACGCTCTATTTCCAGTTTGTTTTTGCAAGTGGTGGTAAGCTCTACTTTTCCTTAAGTAATTTTGAAATCAAGTTATTTGAAATTACTAAAACGCACTCTAGAAATGTTTTTGTTTGATTTGAATTTTTCTTCAAATAAAATTTAAGAAGAATTTATTGTGAGTCATTCATACTGAGCATTTTAAGTTCTTTTTGTAAGATATTAATAAGCTCGGTAGATTTTCCTTTAATCAGATCATGTATCATCGCCTTAATTCTTCGATGTCAATGAACAAAATGAAGACCTTTATTTACCTGGTGTGGTTTTTGTTTTAGCCGAAAAAGTCGTATAAATATATTTTTTTCTCGCTTAAGTACGATCTCTCGCGGTTTGGCTTTCAAAGTAAAAAGAAAGCAGTTTCTAAGTTGATTTACTTATGCGGTTTCTCCAACTTTCTGCTGGCTCTGTTTATATATGTGCAGTTTGTTTTCTTATTTATTTCCAAGTTCGAAATCAATCTCTGCAAAATGGGTTATTGTCATCAAACTGTCCTTCATGATAGATTCTTGATATCAGAAGAGGTTAAAAGTTTTTTATTTGAAAGTTTTATAGACACTTTTCCTATTGAATTTTTCTTTGTCATATTATTTAGCTAAGTTGGCTTTATCTTATTAATAATTGTAAAAGAACGAAGTGATTTTTTCATATGGGTCTTGATGATTTTTTTTTCGTTTGCGTTTCAAGAAAAAGTCTTAAATTGCTTCATAACTACACAAGTATATTCTTACATTTGAATGCAGTTAGGTATATATGCATTTCTGAGTTCAATTCGAAATATATGTTTTTAACTTTAAAATTATAAAGATTTTTATCCAGTCAGTGTTTTTTTTCTTCGTTTTCTTGCATTCATTGGCTCTCTTCCAACTGTATCTTGGCTTTGTTAATTTAATGCCAATAATGAACTTGGTGAATACCCTCAAGTTTAATTTAAAAAGTTCAAGTTCAAATAAATTAAGATACATGTTTTTTTCTAATTCTTTTTTTTATGAAATTTCGACTTTCGATGAATGTGCACAGAATTATTACGCATGTGGTTATGATGCTCGCAATTAGCATGTGTAATCAAATCGTCACATACCTTCTCTTATAAGATCAAATCGGCACATATCAAATAGGCGTATACTTTCTCTTTCAAATAAGTTAAAATAGGCACATACTTTCTCTTTCAAAAAAATTACGATATTTTTTTTCTAGTTTTATTTTTTTTGTTAAATTTAAACTTTCGGTTAATAAACACAGAATTATTACGCATGTGATTATGATGCTCGGAATTGGCATGTGTTATGAAATCGGCACAATACTTTCTCTTGTAAGATCAAATCGGCACATATCAATTAGGCACATACTTTCTCTTTCAAATAAATTACGATTTTTTTTTCTAATTCTAAGTATATAAAATTTCATCTTTCGGTTAATATGCACAGAATTATTCCGCATTGGATTATGATGCTCGCAATTAGCATGTGTTACCAAATCGGTACATACATTCCCTTGTAAAGAGCTTGTCTAACAAAATCGTTGAATCAATTTTTCAAATCTGCACTTACTTCAACCACTAGACATATTTTGATCATATCTGGTTATCAGATACCCGTTTTATTCAAATATTGTTTTTTACACAAGCCAAGCTTGTGTTATAGTTTGAACTCTTTTTTTCCAACCTAAGTCGCAAATATTGTTGCGACATAATGTGTTCATTTTGATCAATAAGCAGCAATTAAGTACAGCCAATGCTAAGGACATTAACACAGACTCTTCTATCACAAATAGCACTTTAGCTTCAAGGTATCATAAATCTGTAGCGTAGATGTAGGGAGGGAGACCAGCAGCAAAATAGGAGGGTTCGAACGTGGGCAGGGCCGGATGTTTTTAATGAACTTTTTCTCATACTCGCTAAAATGCGTCCGCTCTGTAAATTAAGGCATGTTGGTTGGTAAATTTCTTTTTTTTAAAAGACAGGTGCTGCCAATGCGTCATAATTGGCTTGCGTCACTTAAGACATTTTGTAGGCTCAAACTTTTACTCATTCAATTTTCCCCAGTAGCGTTATCGGTCATATTTTGCTTGTGAATGCGAAGTGCAACTTCGCCTGTGTTTATGTTGGTTTTATTTTCACCAACCTCGTTTTTGAATAGTTTCGGTTTTAAAACTTGATGAGCATAGTTCAAACTCTTTTTTTTTCATTTTTTGAGGAAACGTTTAAATTTGTTCAGGTTCATTTTTACGCGGTTTGACTTTTGATTTCTTTTCAAGTTCAGTTGATTTCTTTTGTTAAAGGAAGGCAATCGATCAGCTAAGTGTAAAAGTCGCGAGAAACGTGATCGAGTTCTAGTTTCGTACTGGAAATTCATGCTCAGATTTCTCAGCGAAATAGACTTTTTTCTTATTGATCTCTAGTTTTTGTTAATTTTATCAAAAAAATTGCAATTATTAATTGTTGAAGAACTTCAAAAAGTTTTAAGGACATGTATTTTTTCTTTGAAATTGGAGCTTTTCACAAAAATTAAGTCTTTAGTTTTCTGTTTATTTGCGTTCATTCACTCTTCTCCAACTGTCTTTTGGCTATGTTTTCCATTTTCTTTGATTTTTTCTTTGAATCGTGGTGAAAAGTTTGATTGACTATTTATATCGAAAAATGATTTTGTTTATCAGATTTCCCAGCGAAAGAAAAATGCCTTATTGAACCAGTTTGCTCAAATTAGGTTAATTTTATCAAAAAAGTGTCAATCATAAATTGTTTAGAAGCTTTATGGGCATCTATTATTTTTAATGTCAAAAATTACAACGTTTTTTTTTTCAAGTCATGGCTTTTTGTTCATTTCTGAAGTTTTTTAACCATTCCAAAATTATATTGAATTCTTTTGCGCGATTTGGCAGTGTAGATTGGCTACTCAAAATATTGGCAAAAAAGTTTGTTTTTATAGTCGACTGTTTGTGAACGATGCAGTGATAAATGTGGTAATTTGAGTAATTTGCGCATGTAATCTTATCTATAGGTGAGTGTGGGTAACGAGTCTTCGAGTGCAGAAAGAATGCAGGTTGCGAGACAGGTCAATCTGAACGACAGTGACAGCAGAGAGGTTCTCCTGCTAGCCGATGTAGCCAGCTATTATCGCTATGTCCGAGTGGCCATCACTGAATGCGCGAGCAGTGGCATGGACTGCAGAGTACACGGTCTGCGATTCATCGGCAGGATCAGAAACAGTCGAGGTAGTGACAGAGAAGATAACGGAGCATGCTACCCTTTCTTGGCCGCGGACACTTCGATCACTGAAGATGATGACGAGGATCATTGTCCTAGCAGTGCGTCGGAGGACCCGACTGCCGATGTTATTGGTGACTCGGTCGACAAATTCAAGTGCACTGTGTATACATGGGGCTTAAACGACAAGGGGCAATTGGGAATGCCGGGCGAACTGAAAGTGAAGTACCCAGCATTTAACCCGTCGTTGAGCAGGCTGGACGTCATGCAAATAGTGGGAGGATCAAAGAGTCTTTTTGTTGTAACTCGTGATGGAAAACTGTATGCAAGTGGAGACTCTTCTAATGGAAGACTTGGGTTGGGAGACATCCTCGAAGGTCAATTGGTGACCTCCCCGACTCTTGTGAGCTCAGTCACTAATCACGTGATTAAAAAGGTTGCAGTGAGCTGTGGAGGTAAACACAGTCTAGCTTTGACAAGCGAGGGCAACGTGTTTTCATGGGGAGACAATACAGATGGCAAATTGGGCCATAATAATCGAGTGAGTTGCTACACCCCCAAATTAATCGAGGCGTTCTGGGGCGAGAGGATCAAGGATATATGTTGTGGCAGTGGACACAGTGCGGCCATCAATGTGCAGGGAGCCCTGTACACCTGGGGTCTGGGTGAATACGGGAGATTGGGACATGGAGCAACCACTCAGTCAATTCTGAAGCCAAAGAAAGTACAGTTCCTACAACATTGCAGAGTCGCACAGGTTGGAGCTGGCCCTTATGTTTTGGCTACGAAAAATTGCGCCAATTTTTTAAAAAAAAAACGTGGATTATTCTCAAAACTTTGTATTTTTCTTTTGAGGTATTAAAATTTTTTTCAGAGTCAATGAACGCAGTGAACACTTATATAGGCCGTGATGATCTTTTAAAGTTTTTTACAGGAAAAAGTTTTGAATTTTGTTCGCGATTTGATTCTTGTGCTTTTAGTTCTGATCTATTTTCATGTTCAGTTTATTTCTTTTTTTTTATTAAAAGAAAGGCACACTCCCCTATCGAACAGCAGAAGTGTTAAGTTCTCAAAAAATGTGATTGACTTCTTGTTTCGAAAGTCGATTTTTTTTAGATTTCCAGCGGAATAAAAAAATTACCTATTGACCCAGTTTTCTCAATTTATCCAAAATATGTCAATCATGAGTTTTTCTTGAAATTCAAGAGCTTGAAAGCCATAGTTTTTCTCTGAAATTCGACGTTTTTCAAAAAAAAATCAAGTCAGTATTTTTTTCTGTTTCTTTGCTTTCTTTTCTAATTGTATATTGGTTATGTTCTCATTTAATGAAGGAAAAGAATTCCTCTCATGTAGATTGTGAGGTTTTTGTCAGAAAGAAAAACACTTAAATTTGCTCAATCTGTATTTTTTTCGGGTTTGACTTCGATTCCTTTTAGTGAGCTTATAATACTGTAACGGCTGGTGCATATTTCAGTTTTTTAGGGACTTTTTATACCCCTTGAAGATATTGACACCATGAGGTCAAATTTAATCAGATATTTAACTTGCGGTCATTTTTTGTAAAAGCTTGAAAGTTAGAACTTCGTGAATTTGCTGGATAAACATATGCGGAATTTGGTATACTTTATATGATGCTCATCTGGTAAGTGCAATGTATTTGAGTGCAGCGACAATTGAAATTTCACAGCGCTGAAAATATTTCAAAACGAATGAAAGCAAGCTAGTTGGTCCCAGAGTTTCCGTTCTAAAACGCAAATTTTTTTTCACTTGCGAGCGCAGTGTAATAATACGACTATAACTTTTTTCCAACCTAAGTCGCAAGTTTTGTTACCAGTTTCATTGGTATTTGACGTCCTAGCCATCCTAATCCCCCCTTAAGTCCTTTTTACAACAGTGATTTTGGTCGAGCTGTTCTTAATCTTTGTAAAGGCGCCTTTGGCGTCAATGACTAATTTTGAAGTCGTAGAGCGCGCCATAAAGTTCTTTCAAAGTTTTGTGGTTAAAATACCTGTACAAAACGGCTGTACCTTTTTTTCTCAAAAACTCACCTGCAGCACAGAAAAAATGCTTCTGTGCTGCTCTTATCAATCTCTCATTTTTTCAAAAATGCAAACTCTGACAAAGTAAGTGAACACAGTTGATGCATTTTTGAATCATCAAATGAACAGAAAAATACTATCTAATTCAAACAGCAAATCAATGATGAAAATTCAATTTCAGAAGTTTTCCTATTCAATATATCTGGCCTTTTTTGTAATGCATAGTTTATTCATAATTTGGCTTCATCTTTTCCAATTTTTTACATGCAAAGTTTGTGTGGATGTCTCGTTTAGTATATTTCAAGTTATTACATGTATTAAATTTGTGTTTATATGTATCTGTTGCCACTTTTGTTGCATAGCATTGGATATTTTTAGAGCATATGTAGATTTTTTATTTGTATCTAGTGTTTCAAATTGTCAAGGGACCGTGGCGCAGATGAGGAAAGGGCACTCTAAATCTCCGGGTTGTAGAATCGAATCCGCCACAGCAGAAGATTAAATTATCAAAGCTGATTTTTACTTTTTCTTTTTTTCGCTTTGTAAAGTTACTTTTTGTCGTTTTTTCGCTATTGTTTGCGAAGTGCAGCTTTGTCTCTGTGTTAAATTTGCGAGAGCAAGTGTCTGATAATCGAGTACTGGATTTTTTCAATAAGAAAAAGTTTTTCTTACAGATGTATAACGAGTAGTCTATTCGGTGAGGATGACCTCACTGACATTATATGAGTATCTCTTAATTCAACTTCTGCTCTATTAGAACCTTGTGGTTATGAAGATTGTATACAACCCCCTACTTTTTATAATTGTTCCGACTATTTGAAAAATGGAGAGGAACTTTGTATTTGGGTGTGTCTTAGTTTTTTGTTTTCCACGCAGAATCAGGTACCATAAATAATCATCGGAATGTGTCGAGTTTTATATCATATTGAAGCCCTTTCAGTCGTTATTCGAGCGACATTGAAAAATTTCTCAGTGTAAAAAATAAACAGTTAAATTTTCAAATTTCGGTTTAATTTCGAGCTAATAAGGTTTGCAGGTTTACAAATGCTTATCTAAACTTAATTTAAGCTGTGAACACTTAGTTTTACTCTAGTAAATTTAGTGTTTGAAATTTCTCAGTGCCATTTTGGGAATTGAAATTTTTCGAGTCATTTTTCTACAAAACAGTTTTCGATTTGGCCAATTCGACTACGACTATCGATTTTTTTTTTTTCTTCCGTTCAGATTTTTTCACACCACACAAAAAAAAACACAGAATGTGTTATTTTTTGAAGACTGGTGGGAACATTTTGTACTGTTTGCACAATAACTAGCTATCCTTGTTTACCTTTTGTTATTAGTTTTTTTGGCCATAAAGCTTAGTTTATAGGTCGCGATGATTTGATTTTTTTCGTTTTTCAGGAAATTTTGTTCAGGCTCAAATTTAGTTTTTGCGGTTCGACTTTTGATTTTTTTATGTTAGTTCGTTTTGTTTTTCGTTACAAGGAAAGCAAACTCCTTCATCGAACAGCAAAAGTTTAATCGACTTTTGATTTTTTTTATGTTAGTTCGTTTTGTTTTTCGTTACAAGGAAAGCAAACTCCTTCATCGAACAGCAAAAGTTTAAAAGTCACAAAAAACCTGATCGACTTCTAGTTCCGAAAATGGAGTTTAATGTTCATATTTTCCAGCGAAATGTAAATTTAATAATTGATCCAGTTTACTCAAATTAGCTTTATTTTAGTGAAAAATTTCCAGTTGTAAATTGTTTAAGAATTTCAAAGAGCTTTGAATTTTTTTTTTCAGGAAAGTCTTAAAATTTGTTCACGCTCCATTTTGATTTTTCGCGGCTTGACTTGTGATTTTTTAAGTTCAGTGCACTTCCATTGTTAAAAAGAAGGTAAAATCTACTATCGAACTGCAAAAATATAAAGGTTACTAAAAACGTGATCGACTTCTAATTTCGAAAATGGAAATTAATTATCAGATATCTCAGTGAAATAAAAGTTTTGCCTATTGATCCAGTTTTCTCAAATTGGGTTAATATTAACAAAAAACTGTTCATCATAAATTGCTCTGCAAATTCAAAGAGCTTAAAGGGCATCTAATTTTTTCTTTGAAGTTTGAAATTTGAGTTTTTTTAACAAAGTGTTTACTTGCTTTCGTTACTCTTTTCCAATCTTCGATTGGCTATGTTTCTGTTTTTAGCTTATTTTTTTTATTTTGAAGCTTATGAGGTACTCTTTATAAGATACTAGCTTTGTTTTTCTTAGTTATGGAAAATTTTTGAAATGTTGAAACTCTCTGAACAATGTGTCTATAAACTCTCTGATCAATAACAACGTGTCTATTTATTTATGGGGATTCTTTTTTAGGTTGCGTGTGGCAGTAGAGACGCGCAGATGATGGCCTTGACTGAAGACGGAAGAGTTTTCACGTGGGGTGACGGAGACTACGGCAAACTAGGACACGGAGACTCGACTGCTTACTCCACCCCACAATTACTTGTCAATTCGCCCCTGGTTAACACGACGAACCAGCGGATAGTGCAGATAGCTTGTGGGGCTCAGTTCTCACTCGCGCTAGATGACAAGGGATTTGTGTGGACTTGGTAAGTAATGTAAATTAGGGCGGATGGCTTCTGGAAATTTATTGCTTTGCTGTAAGAAGTTTTCGTGCGTTTTTGTAAAAAGTTTTTGGGGCTTTCTCAGAGTGGGAAAAAATGAAAGCCTAGGGTGGTTTTTCTCACGCGAAATCAAGTGTGCCAAAGAACACTCGCAAAGCATGATATGATATCATATCAAAGCCATAGTGATCTTAATCCGGCTTCCTAAAAAATTTCAACAAATTTGTCTGTGTCAAGAAAAACTGTTCTGAATATTTCCAATCTTGATGTTAGTGATTAAGTTATTGTTATCTGTATTTTGATCGACATAGTTGTGTACTTTGAATCGCCGTTGAATTTTTTGGCTTAGTTTTTATGGTTATATGATTTTTTATTTTTCATCTTTGCTTCAAAGTTTTCGCTTCCAATTTCTTTTTTTCTTTTGCAACACTCGATCGATTGGGACACTGTTTCTAAGGTTTTCCATTGAATAGTTTTATCCCCAGGGTTTGACCAAAATTCCTATGTAAATCCACCTTAAGTTTTATCATATAGTTCCGTTATGCTTGCAGCTGATTAGTTGGCTCAATTGTTGTATAATGCCTCGTTTCAACGTTAAATTCTTTTGTGCGTGCATGTGCTTTGGTGGGAGAGGACTTCAAAATTTCAAACAAATTTTAATCAAAACCATTTTTTGAAAAAAAAAGCGTCGAATTAAGTTTTGTTCGCCTAGTCACCGCTTCATAAATTAGAGCATAATGCTTTTTTTAACCTTTGGAATTTGTGGTTCTTTAATGTTTTCTCCAAAAATAACTTTGTTTGATACGAAGATGAAAAATTTATTAGACTTTTTTTTACTCTTTCCATTTACTGTCGTCTAGCTTGCCATGCTATTATTGTTATGTATCGCAAGTTGTGCGTAGCTCCGCTTAAGATCATTATCGAAAAGTGTCAATCACAAAATGTTCTGGAATTTCAAAAGATTTTCGTCTCTTTGAGTTTGTTGACACTTCTCTATTTGTCTGTTGGCTTTGTTTTAAATAGATTTTAAATATAAAACTACAATTTAATCTCTTATTATCTTATAATAAGTTTAATTGTTTGTTGCGTTTTCTTTTCTTCTATAAGATGAGATCGAAGGAGAGTGTGTCTTTTTTGGCGTTGAGAGTGAGGACTACTGGTGTCGTGGGGGGGTAGTAGTGATGATGGGGTTCCAGTTTGGCACGGAGGGTCTCCCTGCGCACATTATAGCATCGTCTGCCTCTGAGTATCACTCTGAGGTGATTCAATAGCCAAGGCAAATTGCATTGGACTGAGTAATTTGATGAGCATCGCGTGCATAGAAGTATACACCCCGAGATCAGAAATTGAGTGACAGTAATGACTAAATAAGAAAAGATAACAGACTCTAGGCCAACAGAGGAATGCATTGTGGGCTCAAGAATAGGCGCGGCAGCCCAGAGCAGAAGTGTCAATGATGTTGAGGTATCGGGACAAGTTATTTGCAGCAGATAACTTTTCAGTTGAGTAATTGGTGAGCTGAAATTTAGAGTCCTCAGAAGGATTGGTTGTACGATTAAGAGCAGCATGTAACATCCCGTGTGTTTCCACTGAGTCGAATGAACAAATGAGCGGAACATGATAGACCAATTAGAAATTGAATCTTGAGGATCTGCGGATATTTGAGTGAATGCACAAAACAGAACGCATACAATGAGTATCAATATCGCATTTAGTGTACGCGCAAGGTTCCCGGCTGCGTTTTGCATGCTAGGAGACAGTTTGCCAAGTACGAATCCAATCATACGTAGAAGAAATAATGAGATGAGAAATGAGTTCAGGTACAGTTGGTCGATCCCTAACTCCGAAGTATTTGCATTTGGAAGTTGTTCATGTTGTTGGGTGTGCGTAGTTCCAGAGGAGTAATTAATGATACTCGAAGACTCCTCATCTTGAGAGATCAGATCGGGTCTGGAGTTGGACATCAGTTTATCAGGCTGTATGTAGAGGTAAACAAAATAAATGTTCGCTAATGCGATCGTGAGAATTGGACTAAATATGCCTTCAAGCAGCACAGACAATGCAAAATTTTCATAACTAGAACTGCTTTTTGTTTTGTCGACCGTGGTCGAGATCGAGGTTGCAAAGATGCGGTAGAGCATTCCAGGATGTAACAGAGAAGTAATTGCGAGAAAGAGGTTACTTGGCATGAAATAGACGCAGAAAATTGTTCGTGACAGTCGCATTAAAACACAGAAGATATATGGCATAGCAGAGGGAGACGTTAGATGTTTCTCAGCTGAAGCTTCAGCTCGGCTTCTGGGATTGTTTTCCCTCATTCGATCTATCATCCTGTTTTCTATATCTGTCTGCTGGTGCGCCAAAAGGTTCTTTGTTGGGGTAGTTCTAGCGTGGTTGCTGTTAGGTCTATCGTATATATGTTGGATTTGCAATTGACAGTATGAATTTGCAGATATGATGATTCCGTGAATCACTTCAGAAAGAGAAAGTAGAAAGGCGAGAAGTATCAGTAAAAGGGAGTCCATTTCTCGTCCAGGTCCTTCTCTGATTCCAATTAGAAAGCGTAATGGGTCTATTAGATTAGAACTAGTTTTTGGGTTTGAAAAGTTTTCCGATAGATTCGTCGTGTAAATGAAAGTATTAACAGATACGTTGATTAGTGTTGGTAGTTCAAAGCTCATTGGTTGAATGAAACTCTGTCAATTATGGACAGAGAAGAGAGTACGATAAAAATGGATTACTATTCCTGTGAAATTATAATATCAAAACGGATCTAAGATCAATCATATCAAAACTGGTCTTAGGTTAAGTTAGGAATCGAACCTCAAACATCGAATTGTATAATTGGGAAAAACGAGCCAGCTAAATAAGACCAGTGGCGGTAAATCAACAAAGTTATGCAAGTTTTTTGACGTTAAGTAGATTTGTTTGACATAACTGCAGATGAAATTTTGGTTTTGAACAGCAACGCAGCAAAATGTTGACTGATATACAGATATACCCAGATATACACGCGTCTGCTCGTGCAGGGCCAATTTAGATAGGATTAGCAGTAGAGATGTAATTACAGTCAAAGAAAGCAGCGTCCCTACTTTTCCCCATTTTATCTTTCCTTTTCCTCAGTTGCATCAAAAATGAATACAAATTAGACATTATGCTAGTTCATTGGATTGCAAGCACGAGAAGATGAGGTAATCAGTCGCGTGACGTTGGAGTCTTAGGAGAATCGCAAATTGCAAGGAGTAGCAGTAACAGCTAATAAGAAAGAAAAAAGTGTTCCTAATCTTATGCAATATGTGTAATTACAGTCGTAATTACTGGATATGCTGGCTGGTGCTTGCGTGCTTCCATTTTTTCGGCTCGTCGAGCGAGGATGGTGTTGATTTCAAACGAACCGGTAATCACGCGAGGGAAGATCAACGGAAAAATTAAGATATATGTTGCAGATAAATCGAATGCGTAATCAGAGTTTTTCTTCTAAATTATACATTGAAGGTATGGATATACCGATATACGACACATGCTGTAATAAACAATCCTATTTGACCGTAGAACAACTCTTTCTTTGTTCCTTTTCTTAAAATCAACGACTGAGGCAATAAGATTACGAGTTTATGAACTAATTTTACTGGAATTGCGGCTCAAATAGCCTCAAAAGGGTCTGAAAAAACGTATTAAAAGCCGCAGATGCACACAAGCATGCAAGCATGCTAATTTTGTCGTTTATTTTCATGTCAGTACCTCATTCATACTCTGGCAGGGCACTGATAAAACACCCATGTATATAAATAATCTGGCTTTCAGGCAGCATTAATAGTAGAGCTCCACAATTATGATTAAAAACCTGCATTTCGTTGATTTCCTTGCCAAGAGTATTTAATTTAATGATATTTGGTCCTATATAAAACATGTGTGTTGAGATGTTATTTCGGAATGCTCACTTTTTAGGGTTGAACAGATCATAGCCTTGCATAAGAATTGCCAATATGTAGAGTTGTATGTAATGTTGCAGGGGTAAGGGAGACTACCACAGACTGGGTCATGGGGAGGACACACACGAGAGGAGTCCCCGCAAAGTGGCCTCTCTGGGGAGCAACACGAGTGGAGGCAGAGTGGTGAAAGTGGCAGTGGGTGCCTTGCACTGTCTGGCCTTAACCCAATCTGGCCAGCTGTTCGCCTGGGGAGACAACGACCATTACCAACAGGGAAACTCAACTCACTCCTCAAATGCACTGCCTACTAAGGTAACACTCTCTGAGTAGTTTTTTTTTAAGATGACCGTCTTTACCTGGCGATTAGAAAGGGTGCTGCAACCGAATACTAGACTTTTTTCCACAGGATGAATCAAAAAAGTAACTTTGTTCACAGGATGAATCAAATCGGTGTTCATCTCCAATTCTGTAATTTGTCATCTAACGTTCAAAGTTAGAGCTTGTCTGTTCTATTTGAAATTTGTTTGTTTTTTAAATCTTGGTTGCAATTTAACCAACTCCGATTTCAGTATATAGTTTTTTTGTTTTTGTTTATCTTTTTTCGGCTTATTTTATATCGGCTTAGCGGCATCATTAAAATTTTCTTTGGCTCAACGTGTGTCAGCTCAGGAATAGTCAGTTTCGTTACTATTTTAGCATTCAATGTCATAATCGGCATGTTTTTCTTAGAAGTGATTTTTTAATATTGACAAAATCAAGACAAAGATCTGAAAATATTGATAGATCAATTTTTTTTTCACATTTTTCAAAAAAAAAAATTTTTTGTCTGTGGATTTTGTCTCATTTTCTGTCGGTTAGTTTGCCATGCTATATTTTGGTCAATATGTAGTGGAAGGCCAATGATCCATTCTAAATCCAATCGAGATAGATGTTGATTTTTTTTAACTAGGTGTTCGGCATGACAGACGACGTGAGAGTGACTGACATAGCATGTGGATCCTCGCACAGTATCGCCTGGGCCCTGGACAACAGACCTGCATTCCCCGCACTCCTCCAACCAGTCCCATTCCCACTGGAAAAAGACCCACTAGGAGTATCTGCTCTAGGTAGGGTAGCATAAGACGATCCTCAAAATCGTTAAGCTAATGTAGCGTAGCTGTCGCGTTTTAAGACAATGATTGAAAATGCCATTGGTTAATTATTACATTTGCGATCAGTTTAGTGTATTATTGCGAACCGTCTGTTTTCCTAACCTAAGTCGCAAATAAAAGTGTTCACTTATTTGGAAATTCACTGTAGCATTGGAAATTGCATAGCATCTGTTCTCTGCTTTATTTGGGGCTAGTCTTTGTGCCTATTGAGATTCCGTGACTGAGAGGTTAGTGTGTGAGACTCTTAATCTCTAAGTCGCAGATTCGAATGTCACAGGTAGGCGAGTTTTTACTAATTCGAGGCTTATTTCTAGATGTTTTATTATTGCACTGCATTGAGCTACTTTTTGTCGCCTTTGTGTTAAAGTAGTAAAAGCTTCGCCTCTGTGTTAAAGTAGTAAAATAAAATTCATTATTAAATGTTAATATATGAAGTGATTTATCACTCATTTTACTAGTAGACAAAATTAAACTCAAAAATAGGTAGTTACTCATTATATAGCCCATTTTCAAAACGTTCGCTTCAAGCATAAACAATTAATTTACATCGACCAACAGCGAATGATCTCAGCTAAGCTGGATGAAAGCATCAGCGTTTAGTTTCAAGGACTTGCCAGTTTTCACGATCTGCAGTCAATTTTCGCAACGGCGTGAATTCGTTCGCTTTTCTTAATCATAACATTCCATTTGTCTGTTCATCATCATCATCAGCATCGCAGTTGTTTTGTGCACCTTTTCTTGCATGCAGAAGTGCTGGATCATCATGGCAGTCATATCGTTCACAATCGTCATCGTTTATCACATCGTTAAAATTCGTTGAATTTCCGGAGCTCTAACAGTGAGCTTAGATTTTCCCGATTAGTAAAATATAGTTCCTCAGTTATCAAAACATACTTGAATTAGCCCATCGCAAAAGAAGTTTTCATGTCCTAGCTTTAAAGGTGATATTCATTGGCTATGTTAAATCTCTATTTTTCAAAAAAGCAAGCTTTCAGATGAAATTTTAATGGTTTTTCAAAACATACACATCTATCTTTTTTAAAATCTAACTCATGCAGTTCTGAACACAGACAAACACATAAGAAGCTTTTTCCACATTAAATATTTACAACTTCGTGCGACAAAATAATAACAAATGGCAGTTCTGGAAAATTGGCCATAGATGTAAACCAGATTAAACCAAAATGCTTTTTCTACAAAATATAAGCTCTCTTGGAGCAAATTAGGATTAATTTGATGTTCTGCTTCAGCAAAAAAAGTTTGAAGCCTATTTTTGATGTTCTAACAGAAACTTGGCTTAGGGACATATCTAATCTCAACATTTTTTGCCAAAATGATTTTAAGCACATAGCTTCATATAACAAAACCAAAGGTAGGGTGGAGGAGTAGCAATTCTTCCTAGGGAATAAAACGTTTTAAAGATCTTGAAACGTACGGCGAAAAAGAAAACCAAATTCTTACATAGATTTATCTGTTGTGACACAAGATAGCACGCAACTCCTTCAAAAAATAGAACTGCTTGATTTTAATTTGATATCTGGGCCAAATGACAGCAGGCGTGTTACACAGAATTCTCAAACAACCATAGATTTGGCCTTTGCAAGTTTTCCATGCACCAGTACAATTATTGAACACGCAATCACTGATCGTTATGGTGTTGAAGTTGACTTCAACATTGGACGCATAAAAAATTATGAAAAGGAAGATTTTTACGGTAGAAATCATGGAAAGCTGCAAAAGCAGGAATTCAGATTTGAGTTCAACTGGTTTTTACATAAAAAACTAATCGAAGTTGAGTTTGAAGATAGTGCAATTGGTACTGATGAAAAATTGATTTCCTGCAACAGCAAGTTCACAATACTCTGGATGCAATGTTGCCGCTGTCAAAAAGAAAGACAAAATCGAAAAAGCTGGATAACGAATGATATCAAAAATGCGAGTGTTAAAAAACACAAATTACTAAAAGCGTATCAAAATCAGGGTACATTAGAGGCAAAGCAAAAACTGAGACAGCAAACTGTCAAAGTTAAAAAAAATGGTAGCAGAAAAGAAAAAAGATTTTTACACTGGCCTATTCTTTGAAAACACTGGACAACCCAATGAAAACTTTTTTGATCATGTGGAAGAAGTTAAAGGTGATAAAAAGAAAAAAAGTTCAAATAACGAAGAAAATCTTATAACTGCACGACAATTGAACGACCATTTCGTCACAATCGGTCCAGAGTTGTCATATGGATTTCCAAATCAGAATGATTTTTTCAAAACTACAGCAAATACAAATTCTTTCTTCCTGTCACAAATTGATAAACAGGAAGTTTATGACACGATAAAGCAACTGCCCAACAAAAAGTCTGAAGATGACATGGGACCAGCTCATTTGACCATTATTTTCAACCAGATGATTAGCGAAGCAGTTTTTCCCAGTTGTCTTAAAAGGGCAAAAGTAGTTCCAATATTCAAAGGAGATAAGTCACTTCCATGCAATTATAAACCTATATCTTTAATTCCTGTTACAGGAATAGTTTTTGAAAAACTTATCGAAACGAATAATTAATTTTTTCAATAAGTTTGACGGGTTAAGCAATCAAAAGTTTGGTTTTCGCAACAAACGGTCTAGAATTGATGCTATTGTGGAAACTTTAGAGGTTCTTTTTGAAAGCAAAAATACTGATAAATTAACGCACTGCACACTCTTAGATATATCTAAAGCTTTCGATACTGTTGATCATAACACCCTCATTCATAACTGTCACCTTTACGGACTGAGAAGCGTTCCTCTTAATTTACTGAAATCCTACCTCAGCAATAGAAACCAGTATGTCTTTCATTCGAACAATTGTTCAACATCAGAGAAGCTTCATTGTGGTATACCTCAATGTTCTGTTTTGGGTCCCCTCCTTTTTCTTATTTATATCAATGATCTTCCCAATATACCACATTACAGTGAATGTTTTCTTTATGCGGATGACACTAAAATTTTGGAACACCCAACGAAACTAAAGAGCTTAAAGCAGACTTGGAATTCAGCTCATCTTTTCTCATTAGAATTTACAAGAAGTTTATACAACCAATATATCAATATGGTGTATTAGTATATGGAGTTGCCAATAAAAACCGCTTTAAAAAATTTTCAAGTACAACAAAAGTTTTAAATTCGAATTGCGTTTCGTCTCAAAAAAACACAAGAAGTAAGGACTAAAAGAAAAACGCAGGAAATTTGCTCAATCAATGAATTACACGTATACGAACTGCTGAAATTACTCTCTAAAGTAATAAGACGAGAACCTGAAAATGACAACATGAACAATTTTTAATCAAAACAAGAATTAGACAAATCACTCGAAACCATAAGAAGAATAAAATCACTAACAACAAATAAAATTGACTCGAAATAACAAAAAAATTAAAATCTGTGCGAATACGGGTACTATATAATTCTCTAATTAATTTCAATATGACTATCATTTAAGAAATTTTAATCGAGTCTAACTAGTCTATAGACTACCTTATGCATAAAATCAAAGATACTTATTTACTTGATTGCGACTACTTCAACAAATTGTTTTGGTAAAAATGTTTTGAGTAGTTTCTTTTTTTTTAATAACTGAACTATAAAGCGAAAACCCAAAAAAAACATCGTACTAATTGAAATAAAGCAAATAATATAAAATATAATTGTAGTTTTGAAAGTTGTTTTTTTTGAAAATTGTTTTTTTTGCTACTTTTCTTTGCTTGCAAATTTTACTGTAAAAATATATCAATTAGATGCAAAGTAAAAGGAACTGTAAGATTTTGAAATTTATTTTTTTTCTCTAAATCTATTATATATTTTTTTTCATTAAACATGTTACTTAGATTAAACAATCAGGTCCATATAAGACAGTGCTTAATAGAAAGTTCTCAGCGGCGCTTCAACAGATTGAATTACCTTCTGCGCTTGCTCAAGTTGGTGCTCTATCAATGATAAGTTCTCTTTATTGTTGGATTTTTGCACTACTTGAAACAAATTTTTTTCCTTATATATCAGCGAGCATCAAGTAATTGATACACAAAGAGATGCTCACATGCTAAATGCCCACTCAAGGTGTTCGCTTAGAAAAAGAAACTATTGCATCTAAATTCTTTTAGTTTAATGAACAAAAATTACCCTTTCCGAGAAATAAGATGCGAATTGCCCAAAAACTGGAGATTGAGTTTTAGTTTCAAAATGGATTTTAATGATTCAGTTTGTTCAGATGAAGTAATTTTGATCAAAAAGTCTCAATCAGAAACGATTGTTCAAATTAAAATAAGGTTTTTTTTTTCAACTATGAAGCTCGATAGTAGTAACGGTATGTTTTTTTTTGGTTTCCTTGAGTGTTAACACATGCGCGGAATCATAAGAAGCAATGTGCAGTTGTTGATATATAGCAATTTAACGAAACTTTTCGAAATCTTAAAAATTTGTTTGAAAAAATAATTTCTTAAATTCTTTCATAATAAGGTTGCAAACAAAGGCCGCGTCATTTTAGAAGAAATAGCTATCGCATATCGTTTTTTTCTCGTGCTTTCTAGTTTTATCGTTATAGTTGACAAAGTAGACTAATTGTGAAGCGCTTGCTTTGATCAATGAGTTTGGTTTACTTCCAGGAAGTAGTTTGTGGGCCCTTGGACTAGAGGAAGAAACCGCACGACAAAATGGAACCTCTTCTGGAACTCCCACTATCCCAGCCTACTCTTCATCTTCTTCTGTGACGTCATTTGTGAAGAGAGGAGTGATGCAACCACCTAGCCTTTCAAAGATACTTCTATCTATACGATCTGATCAGGACAGAATGCGAGCCGTAAGACAAGTCATGCAAGCTCTAAAGATTCTCTTTTGCAGGGAGGCTGTACTCAGTGCACTTCAGACCTCTAACAGTCCAGAGCATCACCATGAGATCTCGGTATCAAATACTAATGAGAATAATGGAAGTAAATCTGTGGAAGTTGATGTAGTAGAAGATGCGGTAATTGAGGTGGAACCCACAGATCAGGCTGGAGTGAAAGAGGAAGAAAAGAAATTGAAAATGTTGGAAACGATCGCAGATATGCAACCAGAAACTATAACGAGTGTGGATCAACTTGGAGTGTCGTCACCGACTTCGGCATCAGTGGGGCTTCTAACATCCAATTCGAGTAGAGTGCGTCTCATGTCATCTATGTCAGGAACTAATGACTTTATGATGGACAACTTTGCACAACTGGTGTCCAGGGAAAGTCAGGGTCTGATGAATTTATTGCGCATGGCGATTCCCTCGCCCGCTTGTTGTTCCTCAAGAGGCATTCTGACCCGTTTCTTATCCATGCTGGCAAAGAAAAACATGACTGTGGCGGACTCAGTTGTAGACGTCTGTGTATCTATACTTGATGAAATAGTCGCCAATTCGCCTGAGATATCGAGTGATGTTCGTAACAGTGGCAGTGTCTTAATGCAACCGGTGCTCCAAGAGTCTGACCATCCGTACCGCTCAAATAGCCAGGCCGTGGGTGCTGTTACTATTCCAGGAGCCAGATTTCTCCGAATTCAGTTTGACACCAAGTGTCGTACAGAACCGAACTTGGACGTGCTGACGTTGATGGACGGCGAGAATAACGTGATTGAACAACTGTCTGGCAGGAACTACAAAGATTGGAATGAGGAGATTTGTATTATCGGGGATACTGTTAAGTGGAGATTTTCAGCATCTAGTACCAATACCTCTCTGCACAAAAGCCATGGTGCATGTAATATTACGGAGGGTTCGACTTCAGACGAAATCAGTAGATGGGGGTGGTGTTTTATGGTTTTTCCATCCGGTGCCACCTGTGAATCAGCAAATGCAACTGGCGCTGATGGAAAAAATGGGGCTGGTGTGTTAATGGGGAACCCAAATGACCTTCTTTTGAGTGACAAGCAGGCGCTGAGGCAGCCTTGCTTCGAAGTTGTGCGTGAGATGCTAGACCGGGGATGTCTAAATGTTCAACTGGTTGACTCGAATCTCGTGGCGAAACTGGCCCTTGCTCTGGCTTCTTGTGCCCAATTGTCATGTCTAGGTAAGATACTAAATTAGTCAAGGAAAATCATTGCATTTCCAAAATCTTTGCATTGCTATACTGGCTCATAGAGCCAGTACAGGAGCGTGTGAAAATATCAATGTTTTTTAAATCATTTTGACTTCAGCAATTTTCGCATATTTGTCGAAAATTGGGTTTTGAAGTAGGTGTTTTCTGCGATGGTCAATTCCTGCTTTGGTTAATTCTTTTTAGAATTTTATTGTGTTTTTTTCTGCAGGTTCCTCACATCGTTTGTGGGCACTCAGGAATCTCAGACGGCTCATAAATCAAAGCGAGGAGCTCAGAAGAGCAGTGCAACTAATTGTACATGGGGACAAAACAGAAACTGATTCGGGGGTAATGTTAACATTGAATAGCGAAGTTGGAGAAACCGATGTTCTGAGCAACGTGGGTGCGGCTATGAATGTGTTGTCACATGCCAATTGTTCATCCTTACAGGCCCTGGTTAAAGCACTTCCAAATGCCTTGTTGCGACAATATGAATACGAGGATCCAAAGATAAAAGACGGAAAACATCTCATGCACAGCGCCTATTTTAAGGTACTAATATACATTCCCATAGATTTCTTTCGGATGCTATTCGGTGCGTAAAAAATTTTGTTCGAAATCAGTAGAACTCATGTCTTTTCATTATATTCAAGAATTACGAGGCTAAAACAGAAATGAGCAAAGTTCCAGACGTATCGCTAGGTTTTAATCTACTGTGTATCGAGGGTTATGTAGCAGTCTATAGCAATGAGTCTGGGAAAATCATTACTAGCTATATGAGATAGAACAACCATGGAAATCTAGGTTGCTACGTTGTAAAAACAGATGGATTGGTCGATTCCTTAAATAGATTGATGGTTTAAAGGTTGACGCTAAAAACAGTGATTAATACTCTTCGGATTTGTAGTTGTGCAGAAAATATTGAAAGAAAGATAAACCAATTTTTCAATAAACTTAGAAGATTAAATTGAATAAAAAGATGATCTTTGTGATGCAGGAGCTGTTGTCCTTGGCGGCTGAAATAGAGTTAGACAACTCTGCCCTATGTGTTCACAAATGGGTGTGGCTGAAGAGGTTTGCCACCGCCCACAGGGCAGCACACACTCTCTGCGGTGAGAGGGACAAGAATCCACCCTTTTCTTCCCAGTTCTTGGCAGACGTCAGAAGAAAGGTTAGATTCTGATCTTCTTCGGAAACTTGTTTTTGTCAATGAAGGTAGTGAAGGCTCTTCTGTAGGTCGTGATGGTTTTTTTAAGAGTCGATGAACGTAGTTCAGACTCATATATAGGTCGTGATGATTATTTCGTTTTTTTTCAGGATCAAATTTACTTTTTCGCGGTTTTACTTTTGATTTCTTTTTCTATTCAGTTCACTTCATTTGTTAAAAGCACGGCTAAATCCACTAGCAAACAACGAAAGTGAAAAGGTCACGACTTCTAATGTGGACTTCTAATTTCGAAATTGGAATTTGGAATTTTATTATTACACCGAAGACTTTAGTCAAGGTGTTATGGTATCGTGTAACGGGTTTTTTTTTTAATGTTGTCTGTTGTCAAGTGTCGACAAATAACGTCCACAGTTATCAATTATCATGTGGGCTGGACTATATCGCGCTATGTCACGTGATTGCGTATGTTTGTTTCTTTATTTGTTCATCTTTATTTATTTAATTATCTGTTCTTCTATTTATTTAATTATGTTTAGTTTGCTTATATTTATTTATAATTTATGTATGTACATATTTATTTTTGTTTATTTTTATCACGTGTTTTGTTTATTTATTTAATTATTCTTTCTTTCATTTAGTTTTGCTTTTATTATTTCTGCGTGTGTATTTATTTAATTTATTTATTTTCATTTATTTATATTATGGGTCTGTTTGTTTGGTTATTTGTTCATATATATTTTTTCATGTCTATTTAATTATTTGTACATTTCACTTTTGCTTTTATTTATTTATTTATTTATTTATGTATTTATTTATTTATTTATGTATTGATTTATTTTTTTATTGCTTATTTATTTATCAGGTGTGTTTTGTTTATTTGTTGATATTTATTTCTATATTTATTTAAATATTCTTTCTTTCATTTAGTTTTGCTTTTATTATTTATGTATTTGTATTTATTTCATTTATTTATTTTCATTTATTCATATTATGGGTCTGTTTGTTTGGTTATTTGTTCATATATATTTTTTCATGTCTATTTAATTATTTGTACATTTCACTTTTGCTTTTATTTATTTATATATTTATTTATTTATGTATTCATTTATGTATTTATTTTTTTATTTATGTATTGATTTATTTTTTTATTGCTTATTTATTTATCAGGTGTGTTTTGTTTATTTGTTGATATTTATTTCTATATTTATTTAATTATTCTTTCTTTCATTTTGGTGTATACATGTGTTAGTACGATTTTTAGCTCTAGAACTGTTATTCCATGATCTTTGTCAATATAGCAAAAGTTTGACGTATGCATGTGTTAGTACGATTTTTAGCTCTCGAACTGTTATTTCATGATCTTTGCCAATATAGCAAAATTTTGGTGTATACATGTGTTCGTACGATTTTTAGCTCACGAACTGTTATTTCAGGCCCTTTGTCAATATAGTAAAATTTTGGTGTATACATGTGTTAGTACGATTTTTAGTTCTAGAAGTGTTATTTTATGATCTTCGTTGATATATCAAAAATTTAACCTATACATGTGTTAGTACGATTTTTAGTTCTAGAACTGTTATTTCAGGCTCTTTCTCGATATAGCAAAATTTTGGTGTATACATGTATTGGTACAATTTTTTGTTCTAGAACTGTTATTCTTCAATTATTAGTTGTTCAAGTTGTTTGGTTTTTGCTTCAGTTTCTATGCCTTCGGTGTATTGCGCGTAGCGCCTATGTTTGGATTTCTCAGCGAAACAAAAACTTAATCTATTGATCCAGTTTTCTCAAATTTGGTATTTTTTTATCGAAAGTATCAATCATAATTTGTTCCACAAAATCAAATAGCTTTAAGTTCATCTATTTTTTCTTGGATTTTTGAAAGTGAGATTTTTCAAAAAAAAAGTTTTTGTTTTTACTTCGTTCATTGACTGTTTTAATTCTATTTTTCTGGTGTCCCAGCTTTCAGCAAAGATTCCAAGCTTTCAGATGTCCCAAAAACAACATATTTTGCTCCAGTTTTTTTAAATTGGGCTAGTTGTATCAAAAAAGTGTCAATCAATGATTGTTCTTGAATTTCAAAGACCTTTAAGTCCATAGGTTCATTGAAATTCGTTGAAGTTTTTTTTTCAAAAAAAAAGTCAGTTTTTTTTCTGTTTTTTTTTCGTTCATGACTCTTTTCCAACTGTCTGTTGGCCTTGTTTATTGTTCATAATTTGACTCTCTTCCAACTGTCCGCCGGTGGAAGGGTTAAAGAGCAATTTCTAGTTAGTGATTGTCAATGAAAGAAATGAATGTACTTATTTCAGTGTGCGGTTTTTGTTAAATGTTCTTATAGTATCTTTCGCGGTTTGACTTAACAGATTAAGAGTAGTGAAGACTCTTATATAGGTGATTTTCTTTTGCAATTTTTTTCACGAAAAAAGTTTTAAAATGCTCTAATAACCACAGATGTTCATTCATATATATTAATGCATTTATGAATGCACTTAGGTTTAAATGCACTTTGGAGTTCAATTGAAATCCATCTGCTGAAACTTACGCAAATAGCACTCTCCAAATAGAAACGTAGAAACGGCGCTAAAAAATAGAACAATTTTTAGTTTAGAAAAAATTTTAGGTTTTCAGCGGAATAAAAACTTTACTGATTAACTTATATTGATCAACTTTTCTCAATTTGGCTTGATATTATCTAAAAAGTGCCAATCATAAACTGCTCTAGAAATTTAAAGAGCTTAAAAGGCATCTGTTTTTTTCTTTGAAATTCGAAAATCGAGATTTTTTCATCAAAGTCAATTTTTTTCTGTTTACTTGCGTTCATTACTCTTTTCCAACTGTCAGTTGGCTGTTGTATTTTTTGTTAGATCAATGAAAATGCATATGCTATAATGCTTAAAGGAAGGCAACTTACGCTCCGCAATTACAAATGTGCAAATGGCGCGGAAATTATAAATGACTTTAGCTTCGAAAATGGATTTTGTTTTTTGGAGTAGTTTAACGTAAATCAGGCTCTTATACAGCTCGTGATGATTTTTTTTGTTTTTTTTTCAGGAAAAGTCTTGAAATGCTCTAATAACAAAAGAAGTGCATTCATAATTATCCATGCACATGAATGGACTTAGGTATATATGCACTTTTTCAGTTTAATTGAAGTTCATTTGGTGAAGATAAGGCTAAATGCACTCTCAAATATAAAAGCTGAAATGGTGCAAAAAAACGGGATTGATTTCTAGTTTCGAGAGTGGAATTTGATTTATAGGTTTCACAGCGGAGTGAAAGCTTTTCCTATTAATCTAGTTTACTCATAAACTGCTCTTGAAGTTCTAAGTGCCATATATTTTTTTGTTTGAAATTGTATTTTATCTTCTAAAAACAAATCAGTTTTTTTTTAATTTCTTTGCGTTCATTGACTCTTTTACAACTCTCTGTTGGTTATGTTTAGACTTTCTAGCGAAATAGAAAAGTTATTCAATAGCCCTGTTTCCTTTTATTGGATTACTTTTATGAAAAAAGGGTTCAATTGAAAAAGAATCTTGAAATTGCAACTGTTTTCACTCATTTTTTTGCTTTCCTTGAGTTCATAAACAATTTTTCGTCTCTGTCGATCATGATCAGATAATTAGTCGCCTTTGTTTCCGGTCCATTTTCTTTTGAATTGCTCACGAGAAGTCATTTTTTTAGTAGCCATATGGAACAGATATTTGAAATTTTTTTTGTCACTGAACGTTTTTCTTATTTCATTCGTTTTTTTCAAAATTATCTTTGATACTGAATCGATTTTTAACCTCACTTGTACGCCGGAAGGTTTCGAAGAATCAGCAAATTATTTTAGAGGGCAGTTTAAACGATTTTGATGAATCAACAAATTATTTCTGTAGGAAGTTTAAAAAGTAACGAAAAATTATGATTTTGCAGACTCAAAGTTTTTCTCATTAGCGTTATCGGTCATATTTTTGCTTGTGTATGCGAAGTGCAACTTCACCTCTGTGTAAGAGTTAGAGTGTTTTATTTGAATTTATCTAGCATCATTTTGTAAGTTTATTAAGTTGAAATTTTGCTTTAAAATGGAATCAATTCAAAGGAAATTTTTTTTTAGTAAGTTGTTTCTTTTCTAAAATCAATATGATATTAGGTTGAGGAGTTGAACGTGTGGGACTCTGAAGAGGAAGATGATGACGATGAATCGGAAAGGAAGAAGCATTTAGACTATGAAGACAACTCAAACTTCTCGCTCAAGCACGACGAACTGCTAGTCCACTGGGCAAACAGGTGTTTACTCTTGCATTTATTTAGATATTAATACTCTACTCTAATAAAATAAACTTTTTTTGCGATCGTGAACTAATAATTTAGGTGGATATTACCAAATACCAACCAAGTTGGGAATACAGAACAGTCGGGCGGCTGAGTATTGTTTTTTTTATTGTTTCAAGACGACCAGAGGACTGGCGTTCACTCTCCTCTGGCGTACAGGGCGGAATAGGCACTGTGTTCGGGTGGGGTCATAACCACAGAGGTCAACTGGGAGGAGTGGAGGGGTCAAAGGTGAAGGAACCAACAGTGTGTGAGGCCGTTTCTGCACTCAGACCTGTTCAGATTCAAGGCGGAGAACAGACTCTGTTTTGTGTCACAGGCGACGGAAAGGTAAAACATTTTCAACATGTTTGGCGATGGTAAACACAATAACGAAAAGATGAAGACTTGTTGCGAATCGACGATGAGAAGAAACAATATCAGAACAAGGATAGCCGGTTACTGTGCAATTAGCACAGAATGTTCCGACCATAGTATTTAAAAAACTACAAGAAAAGGGCTTTTTTCAAATTAGTGAATTTTTTTTCTGCGTGGGATGATAAAAGAATCTGTGGTAAAGCTATATTTTAGACATATTTGACATTCATAGTAATATAGACAAATTGGACAAAAACATTTGAAAAATAAAATTGACTAGAACAACAAAACATCGATTAAAATTTTTTTTTTTTTTGAAATTTTTGGTTCCTAAAATGAAGCTACAAAACTCCAAAAGCTAATTTACTTACTTACAGACATACTTTTGGGCTTAAATTAGGTATAACTAAGCTGTTCTATGCCTGATCGCTCGCTTTAAATTTTCAAACCGGTTTTTCTCGACACAAGAAAAAATTTAGGGGAATTTTGTAAGTGATTTGAATCACGACTGAAAGGGCTTTAATGATATATCACTCAAACCAGTCCGATGATTATTTGTGGTACCTGATTTTGCGTGGAAAAAATTACAACACACCCGAATACAAAGGTCTTCCCCATTTTCAATGTTCGGAACAATAAAGCTTTCATATCATTTGAACAATTACATAATGAATCAGTGAATGCGATAAAAATAACCATGTTTAAGTGAATTCAAAAGAAGAACAGATAATTTTTTTGCGGTGATTAAATGAAACTTTGAATAGTTCTAATATTTTTACTAGATGATTAGATTATGGTTCAGTAAGAGTCGATGCCCGTAGCTTAGACTCTTATATAGGCCGGATGATTTGTTTTTTTTTCAGGAAAAGTCTTAAAATTTGTTCAGGCTTGAAATCACTTTTTTGCGGTTTGATTTTTGATTTCTTTTTAAGTTCAGTTCGTTTCCTTTGTTAAAAGGAAGACATACTCCACTATCCAACAGCAAAACTGTAAAGGTCACGAAAAATGTGATCGACTTCTAGTTTCGAAAGTGGAATTTAAATATCGAATTTCCCAGTGAAATAAAAATTTTGCCTGTTGATCCAGTTTTCTCAAATTGGGTTAATTTTATCAAAAAAAAATTCAATCATAAATTGTTTTAGAAATTCAAAGAGATTTACTGCCATCTGTTGGTTTCTTTGAAATTCGAAAAATGAGAATTTTTTTTTAAAAGACCGTTTTTTTCTGTTTACTTGTTTTATTGACTCTTTCCCAGGCTGGGCAGATTTCGTTTCATGACAGATCTCGTACCATCTTAATTTCAACAGATATCGTCCCATTTCAAAGCATACACAGAATTCGTCCAACAAATTTGGGAGTACACAGATTTCGTCCTACTTTTTTTAAAGTGTGCGCTTTTAAAAGCAAGTAGTTTTACTACTTAATCCGCTATTACAGTAATTTTCCTAAAATAGAACGAAATCTGTTGGCTATGTTTTTTGTAGGTGTACGTTAGTGGCTTCGGAGCCAACGGACGTCTGGGCCTGGGCCAGAGTGAGTCAGTAGGAGTGCCAACTTTACTGGACTCTATCCAACACACCCACATCACAAAGGTGGCAGTGAACTCTGGAGGTAGACACACCCTCGCTCTCTCGTCCGACGGGGAGTTGTTCTCATGGGGGGAGCCAGATGATGGGAAGTTGGGACATGGCAATGCGATTGCTGCATGCGATAAACCACGCATCATCGAAAAACTCAGAGGTTCCTAATCATCATATGTAGATCCTTTAGAACCCTGCTTTAAATATTGGAATATCGAGTTTTAACCTCAATAGTGGCCTTGTTCTCGGGATGTTCAGAGTTATGTGTTATGCACAAAAAGTATAACCATTCAGTTCTTTGAGATTTTTCCAACTCTAGACTGCTTGGATCGGGAAAATTGAATCTGCTCAAACGAATTTATTGAAGGATACTTTGTCATAAATAATTTAAAAAGACTTGTAGCTATACAAAAATCCATGCTCCTAGAAGGTTTTACATTATTGTTACACACTTGCGATTTTTAATTCATGAAATGAACCGAAAAAAGTGATTTCTTTCAAACAACTCAAAAATAATGAAAACTCGATTTCAGAAACTTTCTAACTCAATCTCGCAATTTTTTGAAATGCATAATTTATACATAATGTGGCTTTATGCTTTGCAGTTTGTTACATGCAAAAGTAATGTAGACAGGGCAGGTCAAAAATTAATTGTCATTTTAATTAATTGCAATTAATCGAAATTTTTCTGTGCAATTAATTGATTTTCATTCGTGAGCAATTATAATTAATCTACCCGCACATTTCTCTGATGATAATTTTTTAACTCATCGGACAGCAATTTTGTTTAAAAGATTTTCAGTACTGCAGATTTTGCATATTCTGATATATGGCAAATTTCGCTGCCGCAAAACTTAGAAAAACAGTTATTTCGGAAAATCAACAAAAAAAACTGACAGAGTGAACTCGTGTCAAAAGTTGTTAACCAAGCGTGATGCTTCTTGCTTGCAATTAGTTCTACAATTAATTGCAAGTTAATTTTGTGGTGTTCCAATTGATCGATAATTGATTTTTAACATTCCAATTTAATGGCAATTTAATTTTCAGTTATCCAATTAATTTTTAACCTGCCCTGAGTGTGGATGCCTTCAGTTTGTTATATTCCGAATTATTTCATGCAAAATTGAGTCTATTTGTATTTGGTGCCACTTTTGCTGAATTGCATTGGCAAGTTATTAGCATATGTAGCTGCTTTATTCGTGACTAGTCTTTCGCGGTTGTTAAGTTTGCGTAACTGAGTAGATGAATAACTGGAAGCATGTTATGTTAGGAGTGGTTGTTGTGGACATTGCGTGCGGTGGTTCACACAGCGGTTGCATAGATGAGCACGGCCAACTCTACACCTGGGGCAAAGGAAGGTACGGCAGGCTGGGTCACGGAGACAGCGACGACCAATACAGACCGAAACAGGTGAAAATCACTTGTAGTTTAAATACATTATATTTCATGCCCCTACTCCGGAAAGTTATCCGGAGAGTTTGTCTACTTCTACGAAGTCAAATTTTTGCCGACCAACCTTACTTATATTTGAAGGATCCTGGAGCGGTAATAAGAATTAAAATTAAGGGAGGCGTGTGAGCAAAAAGGGGTGATTGTGCCTGATTACATCTCCCAAAAATCAGCTCTCACCGCAAAAATCTTATATCCGTTATCCGTTCCATTTTCTTGCCATCTTATTGTATCTTCTGCTTTTAGGTGGAAGCTTTGAATGGCTTCAAAGTAGTTCAAGTGGCGTGTGGCAGTGGAGATGCACAGACCATCTGCATCACAGATGACGACTCAGTCTGGTCATGGGGCGATGGGGACTACGGCAAACTGGGCAGAGGCGGCTCAGATGGGTGCAAGACTCCGCAGAAGATAGACTCACTTAGTGGAGCTGGAATCATCAAGGTCGAATGTGGCTCTCAGTTTTCGGTTGCACTCTCAAGCTACGGATCAGTATACACATGGTGAGCAGGATAAGGTATAGCGTCATAATAATGTACTTTTCTTTTGGATGCCTATTAGCTGTTGTAGTACAAGTCATGTTTCGTGATATTTTTTGTATTGATTGAAGGAAAAATTTTAAACAATTTTGACGATTTATGACTTAGAATTATGACCGTTAACAACAGTTTTGTACTGAACAGTTTGTCCCTAAAGTTGATTTTTCAAATTTATTTTCATAATGTATGCACTTCGTTACGTTATTTTTAGATCTATGTAGTGATAATAAGGAAGGCATTTATATAGTTAAGCGTCTGTTCAACAGGGGCAAAGGCGATTACCACAGACTGGGCCATGGAACAGACGAGCACGTGCGCAAACCAAAAAAAGTGGCCGCACTTGGAGGCAAGAAGATCATAGATGTGGCCACTGGGTCTCTACATTGTATTGCAGTGAGCAGCTGTGGTCAAGTGTTCACGTGGGGAGACAATGACGAAGGACAGCAGGGGGATGGCACTACAAATGCAGTCCAGAGACCCAGACCAGTCACGTTCCTACAAGGTAGAGTTGAATTATTTTTCGTCTTACTCGTTAGAGCATAGTGTTATTTGATCAGTCACATTTTTTCCAACCGAAGTCCCGCATTTTAGTGCGAAACTTATGCGGGCATTCTTTGCTACCTGATATTGAAGTGTAAATTATGCGTGAACGTACCCTAGATCAATCCGCCATGGCTGAGTGGTTAAGGCTCGAGACTCAAGTCGAAGATCTCGAGTCTCGTGGGTATCTTAAAATCGCCTAGGTTATCTATGTACACAAGTGAGCGTAGTGTTACGTCCTGGGGATTTTATCCTGGGGGATTTAGTCAGCGAGCGAATTTAATAGCATGTGTTCAATACGCTTTATTGGTGGCCAGTGTTTTCCTAATCCAAGCGCACACGGAGCTCCAGCAATCTCCAGCTTAGACTTGCAATCTCCAGGTCGACGGTTCGACTCCGGCAGATGGTGTTTTTTTAGCTCCCAGTCATTTTCCGCCCTAAAAGCAGTCAGTTCCGAAACTGACTGCTATTGGGGCGGAAATTATTGGCTTTTTGGGGTGGACATGACCGGTCACGTTCTTCCTGAAAGCTTCTTTTTACGTTTTTTGCTGATTTCTTTTACCTTTTTAGAGCTTCTTCTTGCTGTTTTCTCGCTTCTGTTTGCGATGTACAGCTTTACTTCTATGTAAAAGTTTATTTTCTTTGAATTTTTTTTTGCATTTTTAGAGCCTTGATAAAGATAATATTAGCCATCAACTTAGAGACATCGCTTCTTTGCCACTGAAAATGGGTGGTCTAAATATCAAGCTTCCCTCTGACTATGAGAATTTTTTAGAGTGGTCACTTAAAAATCGTCAGTCTTACACACATACGACCCATTAACAGCCATATCTGAGCAAGAAAAAATCTATACAAATTAAAACACTTAAAACTGAAAGAACAAACCAAAAGAGAACTAACATTTTGAACAACTTGAGTGACAGTGAAAAATACGCACTTGAGCTGGCCTGCGAAAAGAGAGCCTCAAACTGGTTAAACGCACTGCCAGTTAGCAGATATAATTTCAACCTAAATAAATCCGAATTCCGGGATGGAATTTATCTCAGATATGGATGGGAACCAATCAACATTCCTCTCACATGTGCATGTGGTCAATCTTTCGACCTTACCCACGCCGTTCACTGTGAGAAGGGCGGATACATCCACATGAGGCATGACGAAATCAGAGATACCTTCGCCAACCTCATGAGCGAGGTTTGCTATGATGTTGAAATCGAGCCGAAACTTCAGTCGTTGCAAGGCGAGAGCTTTGTCAACAATTCAACCACAACTGATGAAGACGCTCGACTAGATTAAAAGCAAACGGATTATGGGGCTCTAGGTTTAGCTGAACTTTCTTTGATGTCAAAGTCTTCAACCCACACGCAAGAACTTCACAGAGACTAATGAAAGACGCCTATAAGTGCCACGAATCACTAAAAATACCAACAGAAAGTGCTACAAGTTGAACAGAACGCTCGTTTTTGGCTGCATTGGTGGTGCTGCACCAGCAGCTACACGGACAATGCAGCGCATAGCTGAAAAACTTAGTGAAAAAAGGCATGAAAGCTACTCAGAAACAATAAACTATATAAGAACTAAGATAAGCTGCGACCTGCTCAGGTGCGCTATCCTTTGTATACGGGGGTGCAGATAACTGCGTAAAACGCAATTCATAGGCAATTCATTTAGTGCTATGATAGAGGAGGGACAGTTGAAGTAAATACCTTTATTGACAACGCATTAAATGGTGACTTGACTTAATTCCTGCAATATTATTCATTGATGTAGTTAAATAATGCTGGTATGGGCCCTATCCAGCTTGTGCACGACCGTACCTAAACGGAAGGGCCCCTTTTATATTTTATCCTTTTTTTCCTAGAGACTTTTTGCATTTTTTTTTCGTGTAAGTTAGCGAAGTGCACTGATAATCAAGAATTTGATTGGTAGCAAATGCATTTTGTGGCTTGAGGGTCCTACATGGATATTTGAGTCATAGCTTGCAATGAACCCTTTTTTTACACGAGCGAACTTGTGATAGTATTGTTATGTTGTCAGTCGTTTTCTCCAACGCAAGCTTCGCCTCTGTGTATTAGATATGTGTCCGTTTGTAGGAAAGAACATGAACAAGATCTCAAGTGGATCTGCACATTCTCTGGCTTGGTCCACGGGTAAGACGAGCAAGGAGAGACAGGTGGAGATGCCACAGGAGATCCCACTGGAGTACAGTCTCCTGCAGGTGAGACAATCCTTACGATAAAGTGCAGTCCAGAGTTCGATCCATGATTGCTGTAATGACGTTTTTTTTTTCTCTGTGTAATTGACGGGGGGTTTATATTGGTGTTGTTGCTTTATATTGGTGTTGGTATTGATGCCGTTTAACAGTGAACGGTATGCCAAGTTTTGTTAGGCAGCATCTAGAAGCGTGTGAAACTTTCTTGAAATGTATAGCTGAAGATCACAGGAGTTCAAAGGTAGGATCTTGTCCAAATTTTTCAGCTTTTCAAATCCATCTAAGGTAAATATTTACTTTTGCTAAAATTAACGCGCCTTAGATGTAGTCAAATTAGCAGAAAAATTGTTTGCTTAAGAGTGTGCGCGGTGGCATGGCTGCTCTCTGTGGCCGACTGATTCTATTGCACCATCTCAGTGACCTCTTCTGTGGATGTCTCCACATGCTAGACCTCACTCCCCCATCTCCCCTCGGATCCCTCAGAGGGGTACTTCTGAGTTCGGGAAAAGAGATGGCATTTAAGAAGGTGGTCCAGAGTACAATGGTCAGAGATAAGCATCATGGGCCAGTGCTGGAACTGAACAGGATGTTGCTGAAGAATAAAAAGTTCTCAGAGTCCACAGCAGCAGAATTGAACTTTTCCTCGTCATCTGGGTACGTTCATCTGAGTTGTCATTTTATGAAAAAGAAAACTTGTTTTTAGTTTTATGCGAAAAAAAAATCGTTAGGATTTGGATCAATGTTGATAGTAAAGGAGCATCGAAATGCATAATATAATGAATTTTGAATAAGTTTTCCATTTTACTTCCGCATAAAAAGCTTGAAATTATATTTCTCTCATTCCTCGGATTTATAGCAAGCTTAACCTAGTTTTGCTGTAGAAGTCTCCATGGAACTTCAGGGAGTGTGCTGGATGTACTGGCCTCGAAAACTGTGTTCGCACAGGCATCTCAAAGTGTAGTGCATTATGGCCAAGCGGACTCACTGTTTCTGCCGCATAGAGCGTGGAAGGTATGCTTTTATTGTACCATTTTTTTTACACTCGCAAGTTTTCGAGCGTTAGTGGATTGGTACGAACCTTCTTTTTTTCTAACATAACTTGCAAATTAAAATGTTCTTTGAAAGTGTTCACTTATTTGGTGGCACTTTTGCTATAATTATGATCTGTAGCATTGGACATATCATAGCATCTGTCCTATGCTTTATTGGTGGCTAGTGTTTGTGATTAATTAAGCGTCCATGGCTGAGTGGTTAGTGTGTGGGACTCATAATCTCTGTAAATTAAGCTTTTAGTTTTTTTCTAATTTTTGACCGTTTTTCATTTATAGCGTTTCGGTGCCAACAGCGTCTTTCCTAACATGAGATAAATCAAATTTCTTAATGTCTCTTGTAACGAAATGACGCCCATAGAGAAGCTTAGAATGTCAAATATTACGAATTTAAGCGTTACGAACTATTTATCAGTTCGCGCTCTTGTTAATTACTCTTGACTTTCAAAAACCGGTAATGGTGAAATTAGTCGTACTTCAGGTGAAATTTGTGGGCGAAAGTGTAGATGACTGTGGGGGAGGGTACAGCGAATCAATTGCTGAGATGTGCGAAGAACTCACGGAGGGAGAGAGACGTCTGTTCCTACCCCTGTTCATAGACACACCCAATGCTAGACATCAAGCATTGGGAATGGGCATTGATGCCGGCTCCAGTCAGGACGACTGTCTGTTGCTTAACCCCTCACCTTTGCTCAAAGTACATTTACGGGATGATATATTACTCCAATGATAAAATTAAATTGTCAAAAAAATCACTAAGACGGAGGAGAAAACAGTGGAAATTAAGCATTAAAAAGACAAAAAAGTGGCGAATTCGGTTAGAAATGGAGCTCAAATGACTGTATCAAAATAAGAAGAAATTTTCCTTGATTTTTTTTTTGATAATTTGACATCAGAATACATCTAAATTTGACCGTAGAAAACTTCTCAATCATTCTACTACGTGTTTAGAAGAGGACCCAGTACCTGCGTTTTCTGGGCATCCTGATGGGAATTGCCATCCGAACTGGAAGCCCTCTTTCTCTCTCTTTGGCTGAGCCCATGTGGAAGCTACTTGCAGGCATGCCGTTACAACTGGCAGACCTCACGGAGGTAAAGTTATACGCATTGAACTAATGCACTTGACCGAAATGATCTGAGTTTGTTGTTAAACATTGTAATTCATGGATTTTTAAGAGTCGTTGAACGTAGTTCAGACTCTTATATAGGTCGGATGATTTTTCTTTTCAGGAAAAGTCTAAAATTTGTTCAGGCTCAAATTACCTTTTCGCGGTTTATCTTTTGATTTCGAAAGAGTAATGAACGTAGTGAAGACTCTTATACAGGTCTTGCTGATTTTTTTTGAGGAAATAGTCTTAAATTATTGACGCTTTTAAGTATATATGCACTTTTTGAGTTCAATTGAAATTCATCTGCTGAAAGTGATGTAAGTAGCACTCTCCAAATGCGAACGTGGAAATGGCACAAAAACAGGTGAATGATTTCCAGTTTTGAAAGTGGAATTCAATTTTTAGATTTCCAGCGGAATAAAAACTTTACCTGTTGATCCAGTTTTCTGAAGTTGGTTTAATGTTATCAAAAAAGCTCCAATCATAAATCGTTCTATAAGTTCAAAGAGCTTAAAGGGCATCTATTTTTTCTTTGAAATTCGAAAGTTCTTCGATCGGCTATGTTTTAACAAAGTCATTCTTTTTTCTGTTAACTTGCGTTCATTGACTCTTTTCCAACTGGTTGTTTGCTAAGTTTTTTCTTTTAATCAAAATTAAATCAGCTGTTCTGTGTTATGGTGATTTGAGTTCAAGGATCTGTCTATCGCCATGTGTGTTCATTGGCGTGTTAAATGAAAAACTTTACTAATATAGAGGGTGTTCTTGTGGTAGGATAGGAAATGAATACGCCGTTTTTCGTTTCCGTTTCAGTCATACAATAATTTTTAAATCTGTTAGGTTCCTTGGATTTCCATGCGTAACCATTAAGTTAGATGTTAATTATTTTTTCTTTTAAAACTTTGTCTGCTCTCCAGATGGATAAGAGCTTCCTGCCCAGTCTTATGTACCTGCGGAATCTAGCTGAGGCGGAAGAAAAAGAGAGTCACCAAGGTTGGTCAGGTGACTCATCTGGAGTGAGTGAGTTGGATAGCCTGGAGATGGCCTTCACAGTGGACAGCTGCACTGGCCAATCACACAGACTCCAGTCCCCATCCAGTCATGATAGAGTGACGAAGGATAATCTGCCACAGTACATAGCACAGGCCATACACTACAGGTAGCAAACCAGAGACAAATATATTCGTAATTGCTATCGGTAGGAATGTAGTGCGCTGGCTTGTGAAATATTTCAGACCAATTTTCATAAGTTCAAAAATATTGTTTTCAACTTCCTGGTTAACATGTTCTGCTCGTAGAAAGTTGAATTGAGGTTGAAATAATATTTGAAACAGGAGTGCGCTTTGCTGTTCAGGTTGCATGAGTTCGACGAATGTGTGGGAGTCGTGAGAGAGGGAATGGCTCGGGTCATCCCAGTCTCCCTACTCTCCCTCTTCACCCCACAGGAAATGGAGACACAAGTATGTGGTCGCCCGGAGATATCAGTGTCACTGCTACGCTCAGTCGCATCGTACAAAGGAGTGTCCGCAAATGCGCCTTTGGTGAAGTGGTTCTGGGAATTAATGGAGGAAGAGTTTTCAGACAGGGAGAGATCTCTATTTCTGCGATTTGTATGGGGAAGGACTAGGCTCCCACGGACAATTGCCGACTTCAGGGGCAGAGACTTCGTCATACAGGCAAGCTTCCTCGCTGTGTTTTACGGTGAAACCATGAAAGAAAACAACGGCAAGAAATAATATCTAGAAACCAAGTTAGGAATGAATGCAAATCGAGACTGATTCAAAGGCTGTGGTGTCAATTCAGGGTGACCACTGGGTCGCTATTCTAGCGACTGGTCGCTAGTGGTCGTTACATGTTCGCTGATTTTCAAATGTTCGCTACTTTTCGCTTCTCTCCGTCAGTTGCGCCTTTTTTCAGAATCTTAAGCTGGCACAGCAGTTGTTCCAGAAGTTTTCTTTTCTAATGGTTTCTAACGAGTGAGCGATACTGTTGCAAAGTGTATTCACGACGGACACAGTATTCGTCATTAATAAGCTATTTCTTTCAAAAACAAAAGCTATTTTGAAAGCGATTTAAGCAATTTCTTTCGAAAACAGCGTTTGGTTTAAAACAGTAGTTTGAAACAATCCATACGACAATGCAGTGATGTTTTTTTCTCTTCTGTGCCATATGAACCAGTTCAGGTTCAAAGTAAAGTGTAAATTATAGGTCTTGGACAAATTCCAACCTGCGGACTACTATCTGCCAGAGTCCTACACATGTTTCTTCCTGCTGAAACTACCAGAATACTCCTGCAAGCCAGTGTTGGCAGAGAAACTGAAGTACGCCATCCACTTCTGCAAGTCCATTGACTCGGACGAATACGCAAGAATAGCCATGCCACCTGAACAGCACCACAATGAGTCACCGCAGGTCAGTAATCTGCATTTTGAAGATCACTTTATTTTTTTGGAAAACCTTTTGTTCAAGATTGCCAGTGGGTTTATTCTACGAAAAAAGTCAATGATAACAGTTTTAGAGAATTCAATTTAAGGTGTGGCAAAGTAATGGCTGTTTTTTGTAATGTTCAGGAACACTTCCAGCTGCTGGTCGGCTGTTTTTTTAATTAAGTAAGTTTTTGAAATTGTTTAAAAAGGCTGCTATTTGGCAGTACAAATGGGCTTACAATTTTCCGTTTTTTGAGGCACATCAATTTTTCAGGTTCAATCACAAGGGACAGGAGCTGTCAGGTCAACGACTCAGTGGAGGCAGCAGTGGCCAGAGAGAGCTACTCTGGTGTCAGTCGAAGGAGTCAGCACCAGAGGTGATCATTGTGGTAGAAAACGAAGAACTAATTAAGTTCTGGGTTGTTGCTAAATTGTGATTTTGCGAATTCGTGATTTCAAATGTGTGGTGCTTTATTTTTTGGTCGTTTTTTTTCAAACCAAATGTAGAATTTCAATGCAAGGTTGTCTGAGCATTTCGTAGTTTCAAAACTCTAAGTCCAGCACACTTAAATTTAATATTTTAGTCGTGTTTTTATTCGTCGGCAAACGTGTTGTTCTATTATCAGGCCAATACCATTACTCAGCTAGCAGAAGAACAGACAACACTGCTAATACACCTCCCTCTTCCTTTACGCCGCCTTCTCATTCGTCTTCCAGTGCAACTGGAATGTCTGCACGAGGAATGATATCATCCACATCTCCAGGTACACAGGGGTTGCTAGACGTCTTTATCTTATGAGGTTTTTTATATTACCAAAGGGAGTTTTCATTACACTAGCGAACTTTAGAGAGCGTTAGTGTTATACTACGACTATTCTTTTTTGCTAACCTAATACGCAAATATTGGTGGCACTTTTGGGGCACCTGTACGGCTTTTTGATAGCATGTGCTTTGACATTCGAATAGTAATAAGTTAACTCAGTTGATGCATTTTAAATTCATCAAATGAAATGAAAAAAGCTAGTTGTTTCAAACAACATAACAATGATAAAAACTCTATTTCAGACTTTTTCTAACTGGATATATTTCGCAATTTTTGGCAATGCATATTTTATACACAATGTGGCTTTATGCTTCCCAATTTATTACATGCAAAATTAGTTGTGAACACATTCATTATTGTTACATTCCAAACTATTACTTGCAAAATTGTCTGTTTGTATTTGGTGCCACTTTTGCTGCATCGGATTGGCAATTTAGCATATTTAGCTGCTTTATAAGTGATTAATGTTTGCCGGTTGTTGCGCGTTCGTGGCCGAGAGGGCAGGGCGTGAGACTCCAATTGTCGAGGTTGCAGGTTCGAAACCCATAGGTAGAAAAGTTTAACTAATTCGAGGCTTATTTCTATCTTTTCTGATTTCACATTATACACCTGCTTTTTTTGTGTTCTCGCCAGTGTTTGCGAAGCTCAGCTTCGCCTCTCTGTTAATATTGGCGATGTGCTTTTTTTCGAAAAGTTTGCTAATGCTCAATTGTTTTTGTTAGATAGTTTCCAAAAATAGTTGCAAAATTCGTTTTCTCACTCAAATGTTCATAATTTTTTCACTAGCGTCAGCTTATTGTATTATTGAGAACTTCTTTTTTAACCTGGATTTTCAACTTTGGTTCGACTTTTGGGGCACCGTTATAGTTTTTTGATAGCATGTGCTTTGACGTTCGACTTGTAATAACGTCTGCACGAGGAATGATATCATCCACATCTGCAGGTACACAGGGTTGCTAGACGTCTTTATCTTATGAGGTTTTTGTATTACCTTCAGTTATATACTACGATATTCTTTTTTTTTCTAACCTAATTCGCAAAATTTGGTGCCACCTTTGGGGAACACTTACGGCTTTTTGATAGCATTTGCTTTGACATTCGAAAAGTGATAAGTTAACTCAGTTTAATTCAAATGAACCGAAAAAAGCTATTTGTTTCAAACAACATAGCAATCAACATTAACACATGCGCGGAATCATAAAAAGCAATTTGCAGTTTTTGATATATAGCAATTTAATGAAACTTTCCGATATTTCTTTCATAAAAAGGTTGCAAAGCCCGCGGTAGCCAGAAGAAACAGCTATCTCATAGCGTTTTCCCCGTACTTTCTAGTTTTATCTTTATAATTGAAAAAGTAGATTAATTGCACAGTGGAATTGTGAAGCTGTGGCTCAATTCTTGACTGAAAGGGTTCAGTATGGTATATTACGGAGTTTCTTTGGGATGCCTAACATCATTAAAAAAAACTTTTGAATCCAAAGTTTTTTCCATATGGTACTAGAACAAAATATGATGCGAAGAGTTCAAATGCTTAGGTGGAGGAGCAGTGTCTATATCCCTCGAGGAACATCAACAGATGAGTGAAGAATTTGAATTCCGCAGACCAGTGACTGGGGCTACATTCGAGAGTCTGCTAAGAGGCAGGGTTCACCTGCCAGACCCGCCCTCGAATCATCGACAACATCACCAGGCGCAACAAGAAGAGGAAGAGGAGTAGAAATTTAGAAAGCAAAACTAAATTAACTCTTGGTTCACCAGCTACTGAAACTCACAACTGAATTCGAACCAAACCAGCTGTACTCATTATTCAAAATTTCCAGGAATTTATCATTCTTATGAAAAGTGCATTGGACAGAGTCACGCACCGCAAAGCGACAGGTTACTTTTCGGAACTGAAGATAATTTTTGAGAGCTATACGCTGCGTATGTCCATTGCTTTCTATTTTGTACAATAGATATAGTTAATAAAACAAAAATTATGAATTTAGATTTATTAACGTCATTTGATTTTCAAGTGTATAGGCCGTGATAGTATTTTTTGTTTGTTTTTCAGGAAAAATCATCTAAATTTATTCACACTCAAATTTGATTATTCGCGGTTGACGTTTGATTTCTTAAGTTCAGTTTCAGAAAATGACCTCGGCTAGTTATTTTAAACTTGCGGTTTGCAAGCGTTAAGAAATCGGAATATACTTTTTCGGCCTAACAACTAATTTAACAGAATGACTTGAATCGTTTTACTCTTGATCCATAAATATACAAAAACTAGGCGTTACTTCGGGCATGTGGAATGGAAAAGTCAATGGTTTGAATCGACCAGGACCCGTTTCTTTGTAAACGGAAAACTTAACGGGATTCAAAAAAATTTTGGACTTCGATTTGCTTGTTTTTTGTTGGCTTTGTTGCCGCAGCACCAGTTTTGCCTAACACTTAGGCATCTATAAACTAAAATTTAAAGTGCTTTCTATATATTCCGGTGAAGTTATTAGAATCCATGACATTTTTTTTTTTTTCATTTTAAAAAATTTTTTTGGAAGTTAGTTTTGAAATTCTTAATTTTGTTTTTACATTAAACTTCCATGCCAGAAAAAAATCTATTGCCAATTTAAGTAACTTTTTACGCTGTATTCCACAGGCTTAAATTTTTGTATCGCAAATGGTGAGAAACTCTGCTTCGCATTGTGTCTAAATAGTATAAATTTCAGTAAAGAAGGCCACTCATAAGTAAATCTTGAAATTCAAAGAACCTTAACTTATTAGTGTTTACCCGTTCGATAAGCTAGGGTGTTGCAACCGCGTTAGACATTCAAAACTAATCTACCACCCAGTGCATCTGGTGTAGAGTAACACACTTGCTTGAGGCGACAACAGCGTGTGGTTCAAATCGGGTCGGAAACTTTTTTCAAATTTGAAAATTTCTGCTTTTTTAGTATCATCCGTCGGTTTATTTTCGTGGACGTAGTTCTTTTAGCATGGACTCTTTTTGCTCAGCTTTATTTTATTTCCCTGAACGAAATTTCTGAAGCTATTGATTTTTTGCAGAGTTTGAGTTTTATTAGTTTGTTGAAACGTTTTTCACAAAAAATTATTGAAAAAAAACTTTAATTTTGCACTGAATTGTTACGTATGCGTCACTGTTCGAAGTTAGCTTAATGTTTATTGGGTCGATGACTTAAGTTCAGAATCTTATATGTCAGGCTCAAATTTACTTTTTTGTGGTTTGATGTTTTTCATGTTCAGTTTATTATCTTTGTTAAATACGAAAGTGTAAAGGTGAGAAAAAAAGCGGAGAACATTCTCTACATTGTGTCACAGGCAGTTTTCAATGTTTGCTTATGTTATTCGCAAGTACGTGCTTGTTGTGAAGAAAATACACATCGAGAAAAGCTTAAAACGGCACATCGAGACGCTCTGCCGTTTTGGATCTTTAAGGACAATGCTCACAATTTGGCCGAAATCTATTGTCATATGTTCAACTTGTGCTTGGAACAAGGTATTTTCCCGGAGTTTTGCTTGCAAAAATATCTCCCTTGCCAAAAGTTTCGTCTCCAAAGCAGCCAAAGGATTTGAGGCCTGTCTCTGTTACTTCTGTTATGTCCAGAGTGTTTGAAAGGTTAATTTACCAGAACTATCTGCAAGGCCCTTATAACAGATGGCTTACACGTAACCAGTATGGTTTTGGTAAACATTCTTCTACTTCCTGTATGCTCATTAGGCTGCAACATCATCTCTGGAATTTCCGTGAAAACTATGATTATGTTCGCTTCTTTTCTCTAGATATGTCAAAAGCTTTTGATACTATTTCCCACAAGAGTGTTATAGAAGGAGTAATGAATATTGTCCCAGTAGTCGATCCTGCGGTTGTCAACGTAATCATTAACTTCTTGCAAAATAGAGCCCATTATACATCTCTCAATGGCTTGGATTCAACTGTTTTGTATACTAATCAGGGTGTCCCTCAGGGCACTGTCCTTGGTCCGCCTCCTTACAATTGCTCTACCCATGCTATTGATGTTTCAGATAATTCCACCACGTTATCAACTTATGCTGACGATAACAATCCTCTTGTAGCTGGCTGCAATAGCGCTGACAATGCTCGGGAAGTTATTAGTTCGCTCTGTCACCAATTTGACGCAAGAAACTTGTTTCTCAATGTTCAAAAATCTTCCAAGGAAATGCGTATCATTTTCAACCATAGTGGCATTAATGCCATACATATGGTTGAGGGCATTGAGGTTGTTGATGACCTCAAAGTGCTGGGGTTTACGATTGACTCCAAATTTCGTTTTTCTAAGCATATTGTTAAAGCTGTTAAACAATCGAATTCTATATTTTTTTCAATCTGGCGCCTTGGTAAAATCGGTTATTCGAAGGACGAACTTGCTATTTTGTATCGTGCTTTTATTATCCCAAAGCTTTACTATGGCATTAATGTTAGGGGTGGTTCAAATGTTAAAGATCTAGAGAAGATAAATTTGTTTCAAAGACGTGCAATAAGGCTCGGCGTTACTGATACTTATGAACCAATATCTGCAACTATTAGAAGAGCTGACCAAAAACTCTACGATGCAATCCTCCAAACGGGTGCTGATCATCTGTTGTTTGATTTAGTTCCGACACGTTCTACCTACTCAGCAAACAACCTGCGCTGTCGTGATCCACCTATTGCTCGCTGTAAGATGGAGAGGCAAATGAAAATATTTCCTTATCGCCTGCTGCGCAGACTTCATGACATATAGTTTAATTTGATATGTCTTATTACGATTTATAGATGTAATTCTATAACTAATTTAAGTATCTATCTATCTATCTATCTTAAAAATCATTTTAAACTAACAGGCAAAATCTGAATTCAAACAAATCTTCATATGAATGCGAAAGAAAGACAGATCGAAAGGAGGTCTTTTTATAATTAAGTGTGCCTTATGTGATCAAATTAAGCACTGAATGGCTAGAACAAATAAGCTAGCTGATTTATTTGCAGGATATTTGAGGAAAGCAGTGAAGCTTTTTAGAAAGGCCGAGATGAATTTTGTTTTAAATTTTTTTTTCAGTAAAAATACTGCAATTTAATAGCACTCAAAAATTATTTTTTCAGTATTAATGAAAGCAGGAAGTTGAAGACGAATAATCAGTTTTTGCAAAAAACTTTTTTTTTAGCTTGTTTCAAGTGTGTGTCACACAAAAGGGCAGTTTCGTGAAGAAGTGTTCTGAAAAATCTTTGCGGAAAGAAATTGATCTTTTTAAGTTCAGTTCATTTCTTTTGTTTGAAGGAGGGCAAATTCCACTCCACTGTCAAAAAGCACAACTGTTAAAGTCGCCAAAAGTGTGATTGACTTCTAATTTCGAAAAAAAAAATTAATTATCAAATTTCACAGCAAAAAAAGTTTCACCTACTGATATAGTTTTCTCGCATTGGGTTTTTTTTATCAAGAGTTGCGATCATAAATTGTTCAAAAATTTAAAAGAATTCTAAGTTTATCTATTTTTTTTGAAACTCATATGCTTAGATTTTATAAAAAAAAACTAAGTCAATTTAATTCGAAGCTGTTTTAAAACCCCGCACCTTGTATCTCTTGTGAGTGAACCTAATGAAATGAACTGATAACGCCCATTACTTATTCACGATCCAGATAGAATAAAGATGTTTTGTGATTGGCTCAGGAATCAAAGTGGAAAACACGATAACAAATGACCACTTGAATGGAAAACTTGACGAATCAAAAAAATTTCCTTTGAGGAGACTCAATTGTACAAGTGAAAACTGTCAATGATGCATACATACGACCCGTAAGAGAGCTGCAAAAACAGGAGTACAATTTGCTGTGCAGACTGGAATATAACGTCCTAATTTTTATTTGAAAAAGTGGAAAAGTTCCCTGAAACATGGCTTTTTGCTGCGAACAAGCTTGTATCCCCAAGTCCCAGGTCTTAAAAGTGACCTTAATAAGCCTCTATACCACGCAGTTTATAGTATATCAGCCTGTACAGGTTGTCTGACGCCTCACACTCAAATTCGTTACATACAGGAGGCTAAAAAAGACCAAGAACTTGTCAGATTTCCATGAAATTTTTTCTTGCAAACGTAACACAAAGTTGCACCCCGATGCCGCTGATGCCCAAAACCGCCGATGCACCCCGATGCCGCTTATGCTCACCAATAGCTTCTTCAAGCTTTTTGTTTTGCTTAACACCATTGAAGAGGCCTTGAACCTTTTACATTAAGTCCAAATTACCTTTTTTGCTTAAAAATCACTCATATTCAGTATGGAATCATTTAGAAAAACCTTGCTCGCACTGGTTTGCTCTTTTCGTACAAGCCTTATACTTCACTTTACCAATTTTTTGAATACGCTAATTGACATTAACTCAGCTTAAAATGCAGTTTTTGCTAATTAATGATTGTAAATAATCATCGGCTTAACTTACTCATTCGGTGATAGCTGGCGCATTCTGTCTCCTGCACTTGTCAGCCTTGCTGTTAAGCCGACATATCTTAAAAGCAAGGGATTGGTGGAAAGTGGAGGAAACTGAAACCTTTGCCACAGAGAGTCAAAATTGCATGGGACCAAGCATAAGGGAGATACAAACTCTTACACTCCAAGATCCTAAAGAAGGAAAGCTTCTTCCGCTGAAAACCTTAGAAGTTGTTGCCGCTCTAAATTAGTTTTCCGCCGTCTGATTTTTTTTAGGTTCAATTCAAAATAATTTGATAAATTGAAGGCAAACTACGCGAAACTAAGTGATTAATTTTGCTTAAAAGTTTTCAAATTTGCGAATTATGAATGAATTTGTTGAAGAATATTAAAATACTTTCAAAATTCTCAGCCAAATTTCTCAGATAAATTTTAAATTCGCTAAGAATCGGAATTTTTCGGTAATAGTCAGCAAAAGTTCTATTTTTTTTACTGTGTATTATATAGCTATCAAGTAACTGCGCTGAGGTTTGGGTATTGATTTTTCTACGATGAAAATGATTTTTTTTCTCCTCGAAAAACTCAG